CTTCTTCTTCTTCCTCCTCCTCCTGTTCTTTTTCTCCTGCTCCTCCTCCCCACCCTTCTTTCCTCCTTCTTCTCTAACCCCTCCACCTCTGCCTCCCTCTTCTTACCTTTCCTCCCCCTGCCTCCCTCTTAATCCACTCTTGGCTCTTCTCTGTCTCCTTTCTTCCTCTTCCCTCTCTCTGCCCCATCTTCCCTTCATCCTCTCTCCTCTTGTCTGAAAATCACATCACCTGTGGGTAGCACACAAAGTGATAGGAGATTTAATAAAAGTTGTTTTCTTACTCTTAGTCTAAAAAAAAATATATACATATATATATAAATAAGAAGGAAAAGAGCAGAACTTTTTCTTGATGAGATTGTTTTCAGCTATGGTTGAAAATTAAATGTATTAGTTACTTTTTTTCTGCCACAGGAAGAAATGTAGGAACTTTAGGCTGAAAATTGCCAAACTAAATTGAAGCTGGAGAATTCTATAATGATGAGAAACTCTGGGGAAAACCAAGTCACAACAAGTTGGATTTGAAGATTGTTAGCCAGGAGATCTTCAACAATTTATTAATGTGCTGAGTTTGTTTAATGTTTATTCATATGAGAAATTGGCCCAGAGCAATTTCAATTTAACACTTTATCTTGTTCACACTGTAGTTTGTGTGTATATTGCTAATAAAGGTCAGATTCCTTATTGTCATCTGAGCCAAGGAACTTTCTCTATTGGAGTCTGTCTCAAATCACTCATCAAGAAGTTAATTTTTGTTATATAACCACTCAATGCGATCACAGCTCAATACACACACAAATATGAGTATGTACTGTGTGTGTCATATATATGCATATATGGAAAGAAATACTAATTAATTGAATGTATAGAAGTCATATTCATTCTCACCTGACTTGGATCAGCAGGTCAATCATCAGGGACAGGATCTTGAGAGAGAATACCAGAGGTTAGAAGATGAAGAGATAGGAAATAGAGAAGATAAAGTTTGCATTTTGGAGAAATTGCCCACAGCCTTGGATCTGAAAATTTGGGTTCTCAGGATCCAAAGCCAAAGTTCCCCAAAGGCCCTTGCCCCAGGTCATTACTGGCTCTGCCAACACGTTCCTGGTTTTAGAGAAGGAACTGTGTCCCATATATATATATATATATATATATATATATATATATATATATATATATATATCAGGGCCTCAGGAAAAGCTTTAGTAACACTGAACAATGATCTTAACTTGTTTTGTTTGTTTGGATATTTTTGCTGGGATAGATAGATAAGGTCACGGTTTATATCAGTTGGAATCTGCTGGTTTATGCTATAAAATACTCTGTAATCTTAATGGCTTAATACTGTTCACTTGTGACTAATTATACATGTTCCTCATGGATTATTGTAAGCTCTATATATATTTGTTGTTAAGCACTTTGGTTAATAGAATAGCCTCCATCTTGGACATGGTTGGCTCCAATTTCATCAAAAAAGAACAATCAAGGTAGTCCCATGTTGGCTGTTAAATATTCTGTCATGGAGGTGACACTCATAATTTGCACTCTGAGCTCATTGATCAGAACAAGTTACAGTCACATGGGTGCATACAATTAAAAGGTAGCCAAGTACTAATATCCCACTCTCTCAGAAAGGCCAACACTAATTATCATCAAATGAGTATGAGTATTATGGTTGTGTGAGGGGCAGATAACTTCAGGAATCAATCAGATGAAAAATTCTTAAAGGGTCTAGGGATAGAGCTCAGTAGTAAAATGCTTGCCACACAATATAAAGAGCTTCTGAGTTCAACCCCCAACACCTAGGTAAAAAAAGCCAGGTATGTAGTGTGTAGTGTGTTCCTGTGATCCCAGCTCTGGAAAGAAAGAAACAGAAGGATCCCTTGGGCTCCCTGGCCAGCAAGCTCAGCATAATCAGTGAAGACTAGATTCTAATAAGAGACACTGTCTCAAAAACAAGGAATTCTCATTCCTAAATGGGGTGTCTTTATCATACTCTTCTTCTCAAGGCTCAGAGGTCTTTGTAGAAGGGACAGAGAGATTACTGTAAGACCCAGAAGTTGTGAATAACCTCAAGGAAACTATTTTCCAGACACAAGAGGGCTGATGCACATATGAACTCACAGACTGTAACAGCATGTATGAGACCTGTACAATCTCAAGCCATACAAAAGTCCCATAAAAGAGGAGGGGAAGTGGGCACAAAATCTCACCACTAACAAAGAAGTCATTCAAAAGTGATAGCTTCTGGGAGAGGGAAAAATGGCATTTTTTCCCTTATGGCCTAGTATTGGATATGTCAACCATACTCAAGAGTAGTTGGCCAATCAAAACCAAACTCTATGTTCTTTGTTTTTCACATTTATTTAAGATAGAGAAAGAACATGAGGTTAAATGTGTAGGGAATTGTTGGGAGGATCTGGGAGGTGTTCTGGGAACAGGAAAAAAATAAAATCAAAAGAGCCGAATTCCTGGAATCCAGTTGTAGAGAGGGAGGAGTGATGAACAAAAAGGTCAAGACCATGCTGAGGAAACCCACAGAAATAGCTGACCTGGACAAGGGGGAGCTCACAGACCCCAGTCTGACAGCTGGGGAACCAGCATAGGACTGAACCAAGCCCCGTGAACGTGGGTATCAGTTAAGAGGCCTGGACAGTCTATGGGGCCTCTAGCAGTGGAACCAGTATTCATCCCTATTGCACAAATGGACATTGGGAGCCCATTCCCCATGGAGGGATACTTTATCAACCTAGATACCCAGGGGAGGGCCTGGGTCCTCCCCCAAATGATGTAACACACTCTGATGAGCCCCTGTGTAAGGCCTCACCTCCCTGGGCAGTGGATTGGGGTTGGGATAGTAGAGTCAGTGAGGGACATGGGAGGATGGGAGGAGAGGAAACTGGGAATGACATGTAAAATAAAATTGTTTCTAATTTAAATAAAAATTATTTGAATACATTTTATATATTTTATGGAATCCTCAAAGAATGGATAAAACATAAAAGATATGGTGGATGATCCCTGGGGAGTGACACTAGTGATTGAACTATGGCTTTCACATGGACCCATGTGTATGTTCATCCTCTCCCCAAACATGCACACCTACATGTGCACCTCCATACACATACTCAAATAGAAAACTCCTTAGCTGAGTAGGGTGGTCCACACCTGTAATTTCAACAACTGGGATTCTCCAGCTAGAATCCCCACACCCTCTCTCCCAGCAACAATAAGCAACAACAGTAACAAAGAATAGAACCATTGAATAAACAAACAATTATGGAAATACAAAATCTATCTTGACAAAATGTTCTTTGAAGAGATTTTTGTCAATGATTTAGGGATAAAATGTGATTTTTTTAATCCTTCATGGTTTCTTTAAAAGCTTATGTTTTCCCACTATGTGTAAATATTAGGAAGGTGTAGATCTTTCCTAGTAATTTACTTTTGATTCCCTGAATAGTATTTTGCTCCCTGAATACCAGAGACAGATTCATGGCTTTCTGGAAACTCCTTTTTACGGTGCACATTCTAACAAACTCTTTGGTTACCATCTACATTCGATTCTCTGTCTAGGGGTTTTTATCCACTGAAGCTGAGTCATTTTATTACATAAACAGCAATATAATATCATATAGATTTTTTGTATTTTCATTTGGAAAGAGGAAGTATGGACAAAGTGATAAGGCCAGAAGCAGGTATGAGGGAATAGGAAAAGAAGAGGCAGTTTAGGTTAGAGTTCACCAAGAAGTGGTGGAACTAAACAGGTCCTCTGTTTCGATTAGACAGCAAGTCCCTAAAGCATTCAGTAGTTGATGCCCGAACAGTAAAAACATTGGCTTCCTTTGTCTTTCCTATTTGTCTTAATTACAGGCATTTCTGCATATTGCCGAGTATTTCTTTTACATTAAGAAGACAGTAGTTTTCCACTTGGCTCCAGAAGTTTTGTTCCATCCTTGGCATAAATACCCATGGAATGATGTCCATTCTCAATCCTTGTATATCCAGGGGTCTACTACTGATTGCCATAAAGAGCTTTCTTCCAGACAAATATAACAAGAATTTTCCCTACACAATAAATCTCAAACTGCATAAGCCTCATACAAATTTACTGGAAAATTATCATTCTAAGATACTGAGATTTAAGAGTCTCAACTACAGAAAAAAAATGAGTACAGTTTCTTTTTTGAGCTACAAACATTTCTCCATAAAGGAAAATGCTTTTTTTTATTAGTTCTGGAATAGTGGCAGTAGTGAATTTTTATTAAAAAACATTACTGCAGAACTTCATAAATTAATAAAAATTGAACTTCTTTGTTTTTAATAATCTATTTTAATTGAAATGTTTGTTTAACCCAATTAAAGAGAAAGTAACAGTAAACCAGGATAACTTTTCTTTATTTCCACAAACCCACAAAATCAAGAACCCATTTCTTTTTATAGCATTTACTTTTGTGTTAAGGGATAATTCTCCTGCATTATGGTACTTACTGTAGTCACAAGAATATGCCTTTGTACAGGTGGTTGAAGTTTGAAGAAGATGTGGAAGACGGAGGAGAGAGGTGGAGCAAGCCCTATGTGGCTACACTTTCATTGCACAGCTTGTTTGTTGGGGAAGTCCTGTGTATATGTCAATAAATTACTGCTGGCCAATAGGAATCTAGATAGGTGGGGCTAGGAGTCCAGGAGGATTCTGGGAAGGAGAAACACAGGAGAGTCAACATGTAACGCCATGAGGTAGGAAGCCTGGAACTATTCTCCGGTAAGAGACATACTTAGATTAACAATTATGGGGTAATTACTCAAGTCAGAGCTAGCCAGTAAGAAACAAGCAAGGCCAACAGTTTCATAATTAATATAGCCTCCTGTGTGTTTATTTGGGACTGATGGGGCTCTAGAACCAGGCTGGCGGGAAGGCTACTCTCAAAGAAAAAGCTTCTCTTAACAAAAATTCTCCTGCATTATGGTACTTACTGTAGTCACAAGAATATGCCTTTGTATAGGTGGTTGAAGTTTGAAGAAGATGTGGAAGATGGAGGAGAGAGGTGGAGCAAGCCCTATGTGGCTACACTTTCATTGCACAGCTTGTTTGAGCTGAGAAGCTGTGTTCTGAATGGAACCGTGCTACTGGACATGCATGCCAATACTTTAGAAGAAATTGCAGGTAAGTTTTTTGTTACTTTACTCTATTACATTCTGATGATTTCAGCTGCTTTTTATTATTCCTTTTCCTGATAATTCCATATCTGTGTAAACAGTGAAAATAAGTTGTCATGGTCTGTGTAAGGGACATTACAATAATCTTCTCTTATTACTTTATCTGAAGTAAAATAAATTGGATATGAGATAAACCTCATCTTGCTTATAAATAGTGATTGTTCTATAGCAAGAAAATAGATGGCCAACTTCAATATTTACTATTTTCATTAGAATATTTACACCAAACACAAAGAAACACAGGAAGTTAAAACTAGGTACATATATTAATAGCTAGTGTCAATTTCCTAAAAGCTAGATTGTTTTTCTTTAAGGGGCATTACTTTCTTTATGTATAAAGTCCGTAGAGTTAGTGCTTTCTAGACATTTCTTTTTAGGGGAACCTGGCTTAGATATTGTTTTTGAGTGGTGAAATATTTTACATCAGTGTGTTCAGATTTTTTTCATCAGATTTTGATGTTTTTAACAGACTCAGATAATTCCTTAAAGAGATTGTTAGATTTACTAGCAGAAAATCCCATTTGTATCTGGCAGGTCTGTTAAGAATTTTTGGTATAATTAAAGTAGGATTTTCTTTTGGACGAAGTTAATTTAAAACATATCTATTTCCCTGTGTTTCAGGGAACTCAATAAATCCAAACTTCATCCCTCAAAATATTACTTAACCTTTTCAAATCCAAAAATCTCCAGATATGATTTATTCTGATGTGGAGATTAATTATGTCAAAATACTTCCTACTTATATACATTGTAGACAATTTATGGTCTGTGCTAATCTCTTTAAAACTCAGAATTATAAAGATTAAAATGGAAATATTCTCTTTGAAGTGTGAATACTTTACCCTGATTCTGTCAATGAGAGTTAGAAGGAAATTAAAACCAAGCTAAAGTTAGTATCATAGACAAATTATCAATCATAACTCATAACTCATTAAAACAACTTATTACTTAAACTTTCTCATTGGAGGTTAAATTAATACCTTGCTTCACTGAATACAAACTAAAGATTGGTATGGGAATCCATTATTAAAAATCAGGTTCATGCCAAGTGTGATGACATACACCTTTAATCCCAGACCTTGGGAGGTAAAGGCAGTCAGAACTCCATGAATTTGAGGCCAGTCTGACCTTCATAGTAAGTTCCAGGCTAGCCAGGCATACATACTGTGACCCTGTCAAAAACCAAACCAAACCGCACAATCAGGTTCATAGTATGACAATCCCTAGTCTAGAAAGTTAAGTGTTCTATTTAGTATTCACAATGCTGTTAGTCACTTGGCAGTCAAGTAGAATTTACAGCTTCATATTCCCCACTCCTGCTTCTTTGTCTTTGAAAATCAAGGCAATGAATTTTCAGAGTATTCATATGATAAATTTGAAAAACACAGAGATTTATAAAAGTTTTGCAAAAAATCATGCCTTCTTGGTAATCGTGATGAGTTGATTATGTTAAAGCAATTGCCTACTTATGGTGAAAAATGGCTCTTCAGTTTTCAAGCATTTTTGCACAATTACTGATAGGTTTTGTAATGTTCTCTATCTTTTCTCTTCCTACTTGTTTTCTTAACAATATCCTGGCACTGGGCGTTGCCAAGTTCACTATATTAGGCGTCATTGCCTGCTGAGTTGTGAGGACCTGACTCTGGGCCCAAAGCCATTATGGTGCATTATCTGTTCCTAACTTTTCAAGTTAATACTGATAAATATTATTGTGGTGAAGAGAACAATGTGATGATTGAATCCTATGCAAGCCTTTGGTGCTTAAGTCTCACTCTAGCATGCTTGACTCTTAAGCTAGAAGGGTAACCTTTCCAGTTTACTAATGCATTCTGTAATGTACTTATGCTAATGAACAGATGCATATCTCCTATACATCTGTTTGAAATATATCTTACATCTCTGTAATTGCAAAGGTAGAAATTAGGGAATTTTATAGAGCCCAAATTATTGTGATTCAATAGAATTTTAGTAATAATTTTATTACATGCGTGGTTTTTATATGATCAATTTAGGTTCTGTTTAGCATACAAGACAGGGGAGTCATAATATCTTATTTCTGGATAGTCTGTAAAATTGTGGTATATTAGTGTTTGAATAACTTCCTTGTAGCTTCCACTATTATATATAAAATACATATTTTATGTACATTTTTCTGTCATAGCAAGTTTTCAAAGTAATGTCATATGTTGACAGTTCTTTAGTTCCTTTATTTTGTTTTAATTCAGAGATGTTATAATTACTGATCTCCAAAGAACCGAAATATGAATTTACATTTCATCTTTTAATGCCATGCACTTTTCAGAATTGAATGGGACTTTTAATCACAGTGGATGACTTCCAAATACTCCACACACACGTTATTGCCAACTCCCAAATATTCATCTCCAACTTCTTTCCATTGTGAACAGAAAGTGACAGAGCAAAATATACTCCTTGTTTTGAATATGGCCCACTGCCTAGTCTTGTAGGCCTTTTGATCAGTGATTTGGGACATTTCATTGTATGAAACTAAAATTTCAGTAATCTTTAGAAAGTTTTAATGTAGTTCAAAGGCAGATTTGGGTAGTTGTGACAGAAACTGCTTATCATCTGGCTCATGGAAGAAAAAGCCTGGCTAAATAACTCATTTCTTGTTCTATACAAAATCTATATGAATTTCATCTCCACTGACAGTGATTGCTTCATACCAGTCATATTTTTGATGTCCATGCCAGGTGAAATGAAGAAAGTGGCTAAAGCTAATCCGTTTCTTACTGGATACGTACAAGGATATTTCCTTGTTGCTTCTGGCAGTCACCATATGCCCATAAAGGAAACACCTGTTGCAAGGATTCAGGCATTTATGCTGGCCTGCCCTGTCACCTGGCCTGGTGCACTCAGGCAGTGCCCTGGTCAGCCCAGGTGCAAAAGAAAGACCCCGCCCACTTATGCACTCTCTTCCCCTCTCACTTTCCTGCTGTTCCCCTGGGGCAAATAGGACTTTTCCTGTTTCTCTCTCCTCTTCTGTCCTCTCCCTGTCTCTGTGTCGCTTATCCTCTTTTCTCTGTCCTTCCCCCCTTTCCCTCTCTAATATAACTTCTCATTATGCTCTGTATCCCATAAAACTCATTAAGCTCTGTATGCCACAATACTCATTAAGCTCTGTCGCCTGGCATGTTTGTCCCTTTGCCTTGGTCACCCTCGCCTGCCATGGAATCAACTAAGGTTATCATAACACCTATGAGAAGAGGGAGGATACAGCATCACAGAGAAATGGAGCTAAAGCCAGGCTCATTTTGATTTTCCTCTTCTGCAAGCCATATGAATCAGCTTAACCAAGGCACTTTGCACCTTTTGTTGTTGACAAACCCAATGTTATATCTCGCTGATACTGTTATAAACTATGCATGTATTGAAGCTTTCACAGATTTCAGAGGTCTATACCCTGGTTAATAGAAATTGCAAAGAAAATCATGTTCTTAATGATTGTTCTCAATTTGCTAATCAGTTCTTGAAGGGCCTTAGATTATTTTCCTGACTGCAGCATATGATACATATATTCTTACTCTTACCTTTCAAGTAATAGTATTGTGCTTTTTCATCTTTGTGAGGTCACACACTAGAGTGTTGTTCCAAGACCCTTACAGTGTTCCATGTCCATTTTCATTTTGTACAAAAAGAAAGCCCAGTTTTATCAGGGAAAAGTTTGGTAATGTTAAAGCCTGTGATGTACTGAATATGTCAGCAGGAGGCAGTTCGTTGGCATCTGCTTTACATAAGTTGCACTTCCAGTAAACAGAGTTAACATTTGATTTTCTGAAAGCAGACTAGTCTTACTGAGGCTCAGTGTGGTGATACTATGTTAATAAGGAGCTTCAACTGCCCATAAAGTAAGTGTCTATTTCTTTTATTGGCATTCATGATACCACGAACAGAAAGTGTCAGTGTACTCAGTTCAGTCTTCTGAATGTTACCTAAAACAATCTAAGGGTGCCGCTAGGTAAAGAGAAGGTTTTGTAACAAACAAAAAGCTTGTTCACTCTAAATGCTGGATTAGATGCTGGAGAGCCCTCCTGTGGTTCCTAACCTCACTTAGAGGAATCAAGAAAGTTATTCTTCACTAGAAAGGCACACAAAAACCAATTAAAGTATGTGTAAAGCTGGGTAGGTGGCTACTGCACATCTGTAATGTGAGTTTTTAGGTGGTTGAGAAATATGTAGTATACGTTTGAAGCTAGCCTGGGTTGCAAAGAGGGACTCATTTTAGTTAGTGTGATTCTCATTTTTTGGTTAGTGAAAGTGGTAAACCCAACTTTGAAACTATAGTTCACACTGCTATAAACTTTGAGTGTATTGGAGTCTTCACAAATTTCAAAAGGAGACCTATACTCTACTTAATTGTGTGTAATTGTGTGTGTGTGTGTGTGTGTGTGTGTGTGTGTTTGAGAGAACAGACAGAGATATATCAATTAGTTTGAGATTACCAGCATTGTATTCCTACACATTGGTATGAATAATGTGTAAAATAACTTTCTTTAATACAGTTTAGTATATTTGAAAAATAAGTATGTTTTTTAAATGAGTGATTTATATTGAAAATTTAAATGTAGCAATCCAATAAAAGATGAGCTTTTATTGAAAACATAATACGTTGAATTCATTAAAGGAATTCCTCCCTGTTTTAGTTTGGATAATATTCAAGGTGTTCATTTTCAGTAGAAAAGCTGTGTTCCTTATCTTCCTCCTATCTTCAGATATGGTTCTTGACCAGCAAGTAAGCTCAGGCCAACTGAATGAAGACGTACGCCACAGAGTTCACGAAGCACTGATGAAGCAGCATCACCACCAGAACCAGAAAAAACTCACCAACAGAATTCCTATCGTCCGGTCTTTTGCTGATATCGGCAAGAAACAATCAGAACCAAATTCCATGGATAAAAATGGTAAGTGCTCTTTTGTATCTTTGATGGGACCATAGAGTATTAAATTGTTTCTAAATACTTAAACCCTTTTATTTGAAAACATTTTATTGAAATTCACATTTTTAGCAGAATTGTTTTCATGTGTGTGTGTACTATATATTGCTTTCATTTTCACCATCAAAATGTAGACATTTTAACAAAGAACTTGTTTCTAGGAAGGCTCCTGAATGAGTAAATTAAACTGTATCTAATGCCAACTTACAGATTTAAACAGCAAACGTAAATGGAATGCATCTGGTATTGTGTTCTTCTGAGCCTCTTCTAGTAGCTGAGAAGAGCAACGCAGTGGTGTGCATTGTAGTGGCCTTCTAATTAAAACAGTAATGACCACTATTTACTTTTTGTAGAAAAAGAAGCTTTTCCCATCTGGGCTATAGTCAACAGATTTCATTACTGCTAAAAAAAAGATCCTGTAGTGCCTTTTGTGGCTGCATATATCTGAAGCCTATTTCCTGCTCTTGAGCGCATGTCTGCTTACACTGCAGCATCTTAATGTGCAAAGAGCCTCCTCACCATCTTCACACGACATCATGCTTGAGCAGTATTCGTTTCTAGTAATCCTATATTTTTTGTTTTCTTCTTGAATCCATCATCATTTACATTAAGAAATTGCTTCAAAATGGTTTGATAAAGGAAAATGCAAGTACCATGAAGATAATATGATTTTGTTACTTTTCTATCAGCTGTAAATGCGCTTCAGTTCTAAAGGACAAAAATTAATGACTGGGATGTAGCTCAGTCAGTAGCATGCTTGCCATGTGTTCCCAGTACTCCAAGTTTTATCTGCAGCGTTGAGTAAACTGGACATAGTGGTACATACCTATCCCATAATTTAGGTAGAGAATCTGAAGTTCAGGCTCAGCCTCAAGTATGTAGAATGTTCATGACCAACCTAGCACATGAAATACTGATTTAAAAACCAAATCAAAGATGAAAATATTTTCAGATTACTTATTTAAAAAACTGACTTAGGCAAATTGCCTCTAGCACATGGATTGACAGTACAGAATATTTGTATGATTTTTTTCCATTATCAAAAGTCTCAGAAGTAGTTTACAAATATGTGAAGATAAGTTTTCTTTAAACTTTGATTGTACAGAAGTTTTCATACTACTGAATCAAATATACACAAATACATCAAATAGTTCAGTGAAAGGTCAGTTTTGTTTCAGAGTATATTGAGGTCATTAAGTAAATTAAGTCTCGAGACAACATTAAATATTAATGAGTTATATAGTTCTAATTGAATAGTTGATTTTGAAGTATTTGTTTCAGATTTAGGTGCTATGAGAGAAGTGTATATTTCGTTGAAATGCATATATACAGAGTCTTTCCTTTTCCTAAACTGGAAGGGTTGGTTTTTTTCTTTCTGGTCACTATTGCCATTTGGTGTTCTCTATTTTTGTCTGTTGTTGCTTCATGTTTTTATACTGAGCCATGTCTTTATGAGAATATGTTATCTTCTACTTATTACACACTATAAAGCCAACAAAGGCATAGAAATTTTGTTTTTTAATTTCTAATAAATTAAAGACAGAAATGAAATATAGAAGCTGTCCTTGACTGGAAATAAAGCATTGATATTACACAGAAGCATGTATATGTAAAGTTCATTAAAAGTGTTATGAGCATGCTGTGACATATATCAACTTATATTAGAAGATTCTACTGACTATTTTGAGGATGTAGAACTCACATTGAGACAAATACTATATTTAAATTAATTCATATTCTAAATTATGATTTAATTTAAAACATAATACATATTAATGTGAAATTGAAGATTTTATAATCTGATATATAAATGTAGTGCTTTTTTAAAGGAAGCTTGAGGACAGTTTTTATTAGAGTTTAAGAGAAAAACCCCTGGGCAGGCAGGCTGTAAATTCTGGCAGCTGCTCAGAGGAGGAGTATGAAGAGGAGAAAGGGGAAACCATCCTGGTAAAGTTATTGTTGCTTTTACAGTTCTAGTACTTATTTGGCTAGCCAATGTTAATAATCTTGATACGCAATCTTAATTTTGACAAGGCATATAAGTTACTACATCTTAAAACCCGTAATAAAATGTACCATGTTTTAATGTTCATAGCACTTGGGGACCTTTTGAACAAATAAACTTTGTCTTCATTTCATTCAGATAATAGCATATAGACAAAAAATGTCTTATTTAAACAGGTACTGGTTTTACATGCTGCAATTTCTATGATTTTCACTTCAGTTTTTACTGAGGATAATATTTATATTTGAAATTTTCATTTACGCATTTGGGGAAAGGAAAGAAGGTGTGGAATTTACTGAACTGACCAGTTATTACCACATGTATACCTATATTACTGTTGGTGTTTTAACTCTTGTTAATTTAAGGAGGAAGGACAGAATTACAGCTGTGAATCCAAAGTCTATGTGCAGATTCATGCAGACACAAGGTTTACAGAAAGTACTCTTGTTTCACTTGTGAAATGCCTTAGTTTTTCTAAAACCGAGAATCTGAGTAACTCTGTTGCCATCTGTACAGTCAACCTTTATATGAACACATACAAATCTTTCCAGGGCATGTGTTAGGGTAATAGAAACTTGGAAGTACTTATAATAAGATTCATATATCCAATTAAGTATTGTTGCGCAGCATCCTGTCAGCAGTGGTTTCTAAGCCTGGGCTTCTAACACCTCCTCATGACTCTGTTTTGCTTCCTCACACACTTTACATAATTATGTGTGCTGAGAAGTCTGAAAATATGTATAGACTTTACCAATTTAGAAATAAGTCTCCTACCCACAAGTGAAAGAGCTTGAGAAAGACCTTTGCTACTGAGGTTCTCTATGTACTTAAACCCCTATAGACTGACAAACTTGACATAAACAGAGACACTGAGGTTCTCCATCTACTTATTTCTCTTATTTAAAAAAACTCTTGACCTTTGCTACTGAGGTTCTCCATCTACTTATGACCCATATAGACTGACAAACTTGACATAAACAGAGACACTGAGGTTCTCCATCTACTTATTTATCTTATTTAAAAAACACTTGACCTTTGCTACTGAGGTTCTCCATCTACGTATGACCCCTATAGACTGACAAACTTGACATAAACAGAGAAACTGGAATTCATAAGCATGAATATAGAATTGACATTCTCTATCAAAACATGAATTATGGACTTAATTTTTATGGTGTGATAGTAAAAAGAGATCCAATGGAGTTTTGACATGCAAAAGAATAAATGTAGTATTTCTCTTATTTAAAAAACTCGAGCAAAAATTTTCATTTTTTTCCTCTGTTAAGATGATAAAATTAAGATTAATGGAGGACTTTCTAAAACACTTCACAATAAAACATGCTTTCATTAAAAGAAGAAAGATATAGAAATAAACTCTCTACACTTGTTTAATGTCTTTCTGTTTTAGGGCCAAAATTTTGAAATGCTCTAAAAAAAAAAAAAAGGATGTGTTGTTTACCTCACGAAGTCTAAAACCAATTAGAATGGCTTTATGTTTCCTTGATTGAATTGCTCTGTGGGTATGCTAATTTGCTTGTTCTTTAAAGGGTTAAATATCCAGACACTTCATTTCAAATGTAGGTCTTCCATGTTTCACATATTACAACAACAAAGTAGCATGTTTTCTATCTTTTCTCTTCCCCAAAGCATGCTTTGTTTGTAATTTTTCTTAGTAATTTATGATAATTTGTCAATCTCACCTACAAATACATTAATATATATGTAGATGTTTTATATACATATATATATGTAAATATCTTTGGTATATTGAACATTCTCCTCAGGGTTAAGATGCAAGATGCTATGGATTCACCATGCATTTTTAATGCCACCATGCTGTGTTTAACTTTCACTTTTCATTAAGCATCAAAACTGTGAGAATTAAAATGACTGATTCTGATGCCTCAATAAAAAGTGACAGTTACATTTGGCAAAACAATGGCAAAAATAATAGAAAATAGTACTTACTTTGACCTTACAACCCTGTAAAATGTACTGAACTGAGAACTATCAATACTATTCAAGTCACTTCTTGAATCTAGAAATATGTTTCCAAACACAAATGTGACTTGGGTTAGGTGATCAATGAGTCAAAACAAATTAATGCTTGTATTTATCATTTAGGTCATGTATTCACTTACATTTGAAGACATTTACATTGCAATTCTATTGTAAATTATGTTGATTCTTGATTACATGTTTCTGGTCATTCTTGGGCTTCATGGCTTCCGTATTATAGGGTATCTTCATTCCCCCCATCCATTCCTATTAATTTCTATCTATTCTTTTGCTTCCACACCTTTCCCCTCCTAGTTAGAATGCTTTCCAGGTGAAGTTTTTATGTAGACTCTGAAAGGGTTGCAGGCCTCCTATTAATTTCCTCTAATTTAATGTTCGAAGTGGAGAACATGGAGAATATGTATTGAGTATTTTGACATGGATGGATTGAGCCCTTAAAACAGAAACACATATGTATTGTTGATATTTCTTTGTGTTTTTAAACTTGTTTTACTACCATACAGTCACTTTTATTGTTATAATGCTGTACTTTTTTTCCAGATGCATGATGTCTTTATATGTTTAGAAACTCATTCTTCTTAAAATATTGTGTTATCATAAATTAGATAGCATGTAATATTATCCTTCATAATGATCTACATTGAAGGAGAAAGCTAGAATATTACATCTTAGTATTGCTGAAGAGAAAGCAATTAAGAGATTCCCATATATAGAAAATGTAGATGAAAATGTTGAAAGAAAATTAAAATTATGTCAATTACTGACACAATTGGTGTGTCTGTTTAAAGGCTGTATTATCATTGGGCTATGGAAAATTGGTTCTACATTTTAAGAGCAAATATATTTCTAAGTTAACTTATTTAAGGCTTTAATTTCTTATTTGAACTAATTATTGTCAGACATACCAGTTTTCAACAATTTTAATTGCATGCACATTCTTTCTGTTTTTGAAATATAGCTCATCTAATCATAATTTTCTAAATATTTATCTCTCTATCTTCACGTTTTCTATTTCCATAAATAAATGTACTGTTGCACATGTATGTAACTTTTGTCATTCATCTCTATATTTCTTCATTTTGCTCTGTCTTGTGTCTGTCTCTAACAGGCTCATCTCATCTCTGTACCTCCCTCATCTCCTACCCTTTGGGTACTCTAAATGCGTTGAAGGTTCTGAGGTAGTGTAAACCAGCTTGGACTCTAGGATAATAGTACTGTACGTCCATGTCTTCATCCCAGTTTCCTTCTACTGCATATGATTTGTACTGGATTAACCAGCAGCAAATAATGGTACATTTGGGTAGTAAAGTATCTAATGATTTGAATTAGACCAGATAAAAAAGTTAAAAACTTCTGTTTTATGTAATTCACACACACAGTTTACATATAGGAGAGAACTGTATGTAAAGACTCAAATATGGTTTAAAATATTAAATAAAGACTCAAATGTGATTAAAAAAATTAAATAGCTGCTAATATAAATGCTATGCACTATCCATTTTATTTAAGATAATAAACCATACTAAATTTTTATTAAAATTTAAAACCATATACTTAACAGATAAATAGATAATGGAGATTAATTAAACATTAGTGTTGAATACAAAGGATGATGTTAGGTTTCTCAAATATTTACATTTAAGTAGTCATAGGCATCAGTTAATTTTAATGATATCAACTTTTAAATTGTTAAAAGTTTTAAGTAATTTTCAGGAAATATAGTAAGAATAGTGAATTCATAAATGTTTATTCATGGTTTTTAATGCCTTAGTATTTACATATTATAACAGTAAAGGCAATCTAACTTTATAATGCCATTTGTTTACAGTAAGTTTTAATCTGCACAATGATCAATGGACATGGTGAAGGAATTAGAAGGAAATAGGCAAAATACCTGTTTGTAAGCATAGTGCCAAAGTAACTAGAATGTTATCACAAGCCAGCAGTATTTGCAAAGTTTCCAATAAATGAGTGTTGATTTCTAACTTTTGACTTGTATCCCCTGGAAAGGAAAATATTCTTGCAAACTCTTTTCTATTCCATTAGGAAATAGTCACTATGACTGAAACTTGTCATTTTATGAATGACAGTTTTCATCACAGAAGTCAGCATATTAGAGATGCCCTTCCTAAATTTGTTTATTCATGTTATGTGATATTTTTTGAGTTTATGAAATTGCATTTTTGAATATAAACCCATAATCTGAAAAGTGGGTGAGAGTTGAATTAAATAAGTTTTTAAGCAAAAAAATACGATGGACAACAAAATTATGAAAGCTATTCTTCTACAACCTGAGGAATCTAGTAGTTCTATGGATTATTGTAATGCACACATTTTAGCTTCGTGCATATAACAAAAAGTATAAGCCTTATTTAAAGTCTTGTAATTTTCCTAAATAACATAAGCCAAACTTTTTAGTTTAGAGCTTAAATGATACCTATAGATTTTCAGGACCCTACACTGCTTTATTTGTATTATTTTACTTTAATTATTTAATGAATAGTTTAGAAGTAACAATACAATTTTAAATGCTATTTAGACTTTGAAGAACTTCATGTGTGATAAATATATTTAAGTATTATTATAAAGTATACAAGATACAAATACTTGTGGCTTCTGTACCTGTATCAGAGGATGACTGTACTGTAGCATACATTCTCTGGACTGTAGTACACATTCTCAGGACACGTCTGTACTCTGGAAATAGCAAGAACTTACTGTTATCTACCGTGTTTCCTGCTTGGTATCCAGAACTAGGTCACTATTAATATCACTTGAAATATTCAGAGATAGTAGTTCCTAATCGCTTCCTAGTTACCAGCTTTGTGTAAGGTAACTATACTTTTTAATCTTAAAACAAGATTAGCATAGAACTGTAAATCTCCAAATATATTTATCACAATTGTCATATAATAGCAGCACATTAGAGATCACAAACACTTACAAAATGAAATGTAAGTGCCAATGTTTAAATGTAGTTCACAACCTGAAATATATGAGTGAAAACAAAAGCTAGATATTTTTCAAATTATAAGTTCTAGAGTATTTGCTATCTGATTCAATCTCATTAAAGTTGATATTGCATTGAGTTGACTCTTTTAGGTATGTGTTTTCTTACAGCAGTTTATGGCTATATGACATAAATTATTATAAGAAACATATGTATGTTTTTCAATTTTTCCATAATGAGTCTTACCACTCAATTTACAGAACATTTAATAAATTTAGTTTTAAATATATCTAATATTCTAAGTCATGAAAATACAGAGAAATGTTGTGAAACTGGTGATTGAAGACATCTGTTAGTAGCACAAATGCATTATGTAAAAGGCTTTTTTAAAATAACAGTTATAATTTTGAGAATGGTAAATTGAATGGCTGCTGCTGAGCAATTCAGTTGTAGCTATACATTGCAGGTAGAGATGGGAGAATGAAAAGCTCGCCTGACTTCTTCTGAAGGATGTGCATTGCCTTGGATTATGTATTCAGAAGTCAGAATCTGTGTCTGTGGGTAGAGGTGAATTTTCTTTAAATTGTCATTTTTATCTTTACCTTCACAACATATATTAGTTTTCTATTTGATGGAAGTAGAAAAGTAGTTAAATTCTAGAAGAATATTAAATCTATGACTTTCTGAAAAGGTTATTTTAATCCAGGAAATTGTTAGCTATGAACAAATGATCTCTGACTGGCAGGCTTACTAGTCTAAGCAGTAAAGTTATACTAGTATTTAAAATAAATAATTTGGCTTTTAATTATATTCTATGATCATGGGGAAATTGCAGAATTTCTTATGTAGCTATTTAAGAGAATTAAGAGAAGTTCAGGGTTGGCAGCAATCAGAAAGGATGAGAATAAAATTAAATTTTGAATAAAATTGAGATTTCAGAAAAGAGAGAGAAAAGTTAGGTACAAAGTATTTCTTGTGTTTGGGATCAATGAAGGGAAAGAGGGACTTTGAAGCCACTGCAAAGAATATAAAATAGTTCAGGCTTCAGTGTTGAATTGTCACAAGTGAAGATGACCCAAAGATAGGTAGGGAAAATTAAATAAAGTGGGCTAATTATCATTTAATTGTTAACTATGGGCAGATTGCAAATGATTATTTTGCAAAGACTGTTATATAGTGAATGATGTGTGTTAATGTTTTCTAATCATTGTCACATCCCCAAATATGTTATCCTCATAACTAACCTCACCTTTCATCCAAGGAGGGAGAACTACAACATAATTATATTTTCAATAATGTAGGTGGAAAATCAATACAACTCTAGTTTAGTGATCTTTGCTTGGCTTACAGATGAATATTTGTTTATATAAGTGAATAGTTAGAGGCACAAGAACACATGCTCCTAATAAATTCCATCTCCAAATTTTATTGCTGAAGAAAGAAGTTATTTGCACTTTTAATTGTAATAGAACCTAAAAATGCGCTGAGCACTTACTGATATTCAACCTTTCTTAGATTGTCAAAAGTTCTTCAGTCAGAGCTGGAAATTTATCTTTTTAAATATATGCAGTAATTTTGATTGATACTTAGAAGTCAATGAACTTTAAATTACGGTTAAATTTAATTGTTTTGGAGGCAGCATTTCTTCAAAAAGAAGAACAATTTAGAGTTTAAAATTGGTAATTGGCTTAAAGTTCTTGATCAACTTCTCCCATTTCTACCTGTAACTGACAACCCCTATGCCGATATAGTTCTATTTAATTTAGCGTTCATGCTTACATCATAAGCTTATCAAAAATTCTTGATAGTTTAGTTAAATTGAAGTTCATCTTTCACCCAGTATGCCTAGAACTGTGTAAGTAACTGTTTGTATTCTGTAATAACCATCTCTTTCAGCAGGTCAGGTTGTTTCTCCTCAGTCTGCTCCAGCCTGTGCTGAGAACAAAAATGATGTTAGCAGGGAAAACAGCACTGTTGACTTTAGCAAGGTAAGCTTTTCTTTCTTCCATCTAAGTAAGCTGCTGAATCGCCAGTAGAAGTGTGTTACCTGTTAACACATGCATTCACATGCCTTTGTTTGGTTTCTTAACCAAAGCCTGAAATTGTTATAGACAATGTGAGACTTCAGCTCAGTGCTTTGCTTATTTGGGAAAACAAGTGTGTTAGTTTTATGAACCATCTTTTGGATTCAGCCCCTTGTTGTAATGTATCTCTTGCAGTAAAAAAAGGACTTTATAGGGAGCTTAATTTGTTGTTTTAAAATATTTGCTAGATTTCCCCTTCAAAATAATCTTCCTATTATGTAGAAAAGCAAGTCATCTGATATAAATCTTTTGTCTAACTAGATAATTAGAAGTCAGTATAAGGATACCCTAGAAGGTAACTTACAAGTTTGAAAAAAAACATGCCTAAGGGCTGGTTATGTTCAAAGTTACTTCTTGTTGGGTATTATCTAAATAAAATAATGCATTTGAATTTATGCTAAGAAAATGAGTTAGTGAAAATGAAGGGTTTTTTTGTTGTTGTTGTTTAATGCATTCCTGACTTTGTATATGAGCTACAGTAACTGTGACAAAGTAACAGTTGCGTAGAACAGAGAAGTTTTAATATTGGTCAAAAATAAGGATGTTGAACGATTTTATCTGAGTGGCTGACAAGGAAGTAGTTAGCACTCAATAAAGCCCTTAGCATTAGCAATAGGAGGAGGAAGTAGGAATGGACTTCAGTCTGAGGAAACAATCTAAATCAAAGTTCTGAGTCAGCTACTTGGACCGGTTTTAGCATCCTGGGACAGTATCTACATGAGCTAGGCCAGTTCTGTGCATGCGTTCCCTCTGGTGCCTGGTGGAGTATTGTGGGAGCATGATGTACCAGCTTAAGTCTGTTAATTGTGCGTGCAGGGACTGGGAGGCCATCAAAAGGGGCATACTAGTCCATGTGGGATGAAACAAAGGCATGACAAAGGACCTCCACACCAGCAAGACAGAGAGGTGAGGGCATATTTGGGCTCTATTTCTACAGTAGTTCAAAGCTCATTTCACTGTACTGAGGCATGTACTTCAAGTATTAAGTCAGTTTAAATGTATTCCATCTGCCACTGTAAGAATTATATTTTTAAAGCATTACATCATCATTCATCTGTAAGTTATAATAAAACTGTCACAAATTTACTGTCATAAATTTAATTTCTGCAGTTCTTAATTGAAAATAAATCCAATCTTTAAAGCGATGCTATAAAAAATTGACTATCTTATAACAATGGAATATTTGACATTTTTCAAAACAGTGATTTTAACTATGTAGATTATCCTTTAAATAAATTACTTTTAAACTAAAAAAATACCCTATACATTGAATTATATATTTCCGTATTATTTTGGAGTTTATGGTGACCTATCTTCATGACCTTCAAAAATAATTCAACACCACTGAAGAGAAGTGAAGATCACCAAATAAAGACAGGACAGTAGTCTCATTCCCAGGATCCCCTAACAATTAGAGCTCCGGAAATGTGAAAACTAGATTTTCTCTCATTTAATCCTTCTCTTCATCATTTCATTTTCATTTGCTGATCCATTTAATGTGGAAATTTAGACTATCCATCCACATCCCTCTGTCTTTTGTTCATAGCAATGTTCATTGGAAAGAACATGCCTTTTGAATGCTATGTGTCTAGGAGAAGCGCTGTACACTGCAGCCTTATCATTGCCCAAAATAAGTATAATGCATGTTTACTGTTTTATTGTGGAGATTTAATAGTATATTATTTCAATTTGTCAGATTGAGCATAAAGTAGCTATTCAATGAAAAGTGACCGATGTATTGAGCGTGGGAATGGTAGTGTCAAAATAAATTCCAGACCAGATTTAATATGCTGGTTTCCACTGAATCTTTAGTACCTTTAACAATGTTTGAGATAGTTTTTTTGAAGGAATCCTTTAAGATTAAAATAGTTGTCAGCCCATAGTTTTAGAGTAATAAAACAAAATAAGAAACATTCCTAGTTTTATAACCTGGGAGAGGAGAGAATTTGAGTTTGGAGAGCATTGTTGTGATCCATCACCATGGAAACAATTATTAGTGCCAGATTTTGAAGGTATGCAAATTAAGATGTTTTTAAATGAATGATTTCAGTTTGGTGGTCAATCTGTTAAAATTCAGCTAATCTCCACATTACTGTGTCCATTTCAATATCTTAAGTAATGTTTAATATCTCAAAAACTGAGATATTAAAAAAAGGCCCTTTTTCATTTTATATAACTTGATCCTATGTTATATAAGCCTTCAAACTATACATCTTTAGCCTCTACAGTTATTAAGCCCATCAGGCTTATTTAATTAAGTAATGAATTAACATAATCTGTTACATCAAATTATGGCTCTTTTCATTAAGCCTTCAAAAAGCAGGTGTTTCAAAATACTATAAACCTTTTTGGTCTTTTTCCCCCTTTTTTATTATAATTTTAATTTTAAATAGCTTGTTTTACATGTCAATCCCAGTTCCCTCTCCCTCTCCTCCTCCCGCATCCCTCCACCATTCCCCCCCTCCAGCCTCCCACCCTATTGCCAATTCCTTCTACATAGAGGATATCTAGAGTCTGTCATTTCACTCAGGGTAGGGTCCAGGCACTCCCCTAAGAGTCCAGACTGAGAGAGCATCCCTCTTTGTGTTATGGACACATGACGTCTCTTTGTTTTCCAGGGACAAACACTGATCCACTGCTCAGGGATCCATAGGTTGCCCAGGCCTCCTCACTGACACTCACATTCGGGGGGGTCTGGATCAGTCCCATGCTGGCCTCCCAGCTGTTGGTCTGGGGTCCAAGAGCTCTCCCCTGTTCAGATCAGCTGTCTCTGCTGGTTTTGCCAGCCCATTCTTTGCCAATTTGCTCATCGCTCCTCTTTCTCTGTCACTGGGTTCCTTGGGTTCAGTTCAGTGTGTAACTATGGGTGTTTGCCTCTGCTTCCATCAGTCACAGGATGAAGGCTCCGGATGGTTATAGACATCAAGTTCATTATCAGGAATGGACATTCGAGGTGGTCTCTACACTATTGCTCAGCTTGCCAATTGGTATCATCCCTTTAGATCACTAGAGGTCACTCTGGTGCCTGATCTGTCTTCTAACCTATGATTCCCTTTTCCCCCTATTCTATCACCCCCCACTCAACCTTCCTGTTCCCCCATGACCTACCCTCTCTTCCTCTTATCCCCCCCTCTTCTTCCCAGATCCCACTCCTCCCCACTCCTCGCCATGTTCCCCATCCATTCAGAGGATCTTGTCTCAATCCTCTTCTCTTGGGTACCATGCATATCTCTTAGGTCCTTTCCTGTTTGCCAGACTCTCTGTCAGTCTAAGTGCAGACTGGCACTATTCTGATCCATGTTTAAAATCCATATATGAGTGAATACATACCATGTTTGTCTTTTTGTGACTGGGTTACCTCACTCTTCTTCCAGTGCTATCCATTTACCTGCGAATTTCAAGATTCCATTTTTTTTTCTGCTGAGTAATACTCCAATGTGTAAATGTACCACATTTTCTCTATCCACTCTTCAGTTGAGGGGCATCTAGGTTGCTTCCAGGTTCTGGCTATTACAAATAATGCTGCTATGAACATAGTGGAGCAGATGCCCTTGTTGTATGAATTTGCCTCTTTTGGATATATGCCTAAGAGTGGAATTGCTGGGTCTTGTGGTAGATTGATTCCCATTTTCCTGAGGAATCTCCATACTGCTTTCCAATGTGGCTGTACAAGTTGGCATTCCCACCAGCAGTGGAGGAGTGTTCCCCTCTTTCCACATCCTCTCCAGCATAAATTGTCTTTGGTGTTTTTGATTTTAGCCTTTCTGACAGGAGTAAGATGGTATCTCAAAGTTGTTTTGATTTGCATTTCCCTGATGGCTAAGGATGTTGAGCACTTTCTTAAGTGTCTCTTGACCATTTTAGCCTCCTCTATTGAGAATTCTCTATTTAGTTCTGTACCCCACCTTTTAATTGGATCCTTTGGTGTTTTGCTTCTTGAGTTTTTTTGTAAATTTTGGAGATTACCCCTCTGTCAGATGTGGGGTTAGTGAATATCTTTTCCCATTCTGTGGAATGCCTTTTTGTCTTGTTGACTGTGTCCTTTGCCTTACAGAAGCTTTTTAGTTTCAGGAGGTCCCATTTGTTAATTGTCGATCTCAGTGTTTGTGCCACTGCTGTTATGTTCAGGAAGTGGTCTCCTGTACCAACTCGTTGAAGAGTATCTCCCACTTTCTCTTCTAAAAGTTTCAGTATGGCTGGATTTATGTTGAGATCTTTGATCCATTTGGACTTAAGTTTTGTACAAGGCGATAAACATAGATCTAACTGCAGTCTTCTGTGTACCAGTACCCAGTTATGTAAGCACCATTTGTTGAAGATGCTTTCTTTTTTCCATTGTATAGTTTTAGCTTCTTTGTCAAAAATCAAGTGTTCATAGGTGTGTGGGTTAAAATTAGAGCTTTCAGTTCATTTCCATTGGTCTACCTGCCTATTTTTGTGCCAATACCAAGCTGTTTTCAGGACTATAGTTCTATAACAGAGCTTGAAGTCAGGTATGGTGATGCCTCCTGAAGTTCCTTTATTGTATAGGGCTGTTTTGGCTATCCTGAGCCTTTTGTTTTTCTAAATAAAGTTGATTATTGTTCTTTCCAGGTCCTTGAAGAATTGTGCTGCAATTTTGATAGGGATTGCATTGCATCTGTAGACTGCTTTTGGCAAGATTGCCGTTTTTATTATGTAGATCCTACCAATCCAAGAGCATGGGAGGTCTTTCCGTTTTCTGGTAACCTCTTTGATTTCTTTCTTTAAAGACTCAAAGTTCTTGATATATAGGTCTTTCACTTCCTTGGTTAACATTATCTCCAGATATTTGATGCTGTTTATGGTTATTGTAAAGGGTGATGTTTCTTTGATTTCTTTCTCAGTCACTTCATCATCTGTATATAATAGTGCCACTGATTTTTTTGAGTTTACTTTGTATCCTGCCACATTGCTGAAGGTGTTCATCAGCTCTAGGAGTTCCCTTGCGGAGTTTTTTCGGGTCACTGATGTAAACTATCATATCATCTGCAAATAGTGAAAGTTTGACTTCTTCTTTTCCTATTTGTATCCCCTTTATCTCCTTTTGTTGTCTTATTGCTGTAGCTAGAACTTCAAGTACAATATTGGAGAGATATGGAGAGAGTGGACAGCCTTGTCTTGTTCCTGATTTTGATTTTAGAGGAATTGCGTTGAGTTTCTCTCCATTTAGTTTGATGTTAGCTGTTGGTTTACTGTATATTGCTTTTATTATATTCAGGTATATTCCTGTTATCCCTGATCTCTCTAGGACCTTTATCATGAAGGGGTGCTGGATTTTGTCAAAGGCTTTTTCAGAATCTAGTGAGATGATCATGTGGTTTTTCTTTTGCAGTTTGTTTATATGGTGGATTACATTGATAGATTTTCTAATGTTGAACCATCCCTGGATTCCTGGGATGAAGCCTACTTGATCATGGTGGATGATTTTTCTGATGTGTTTTTGAATCCGGTTTGCTAGCATTTTATTGAGTATTTTTGCATCGATGTTCATGAGGGAAATTGGTCTATAGTTCTTTTTCTTAGTTGTGTCTTTGTGTGGCTTGGGTATCAAGGTAATTGTAGCCTCGTAAAAAGAGTTTGGCAGTGAGCTTCCTGCTTCTATTGTGTGGAATACTTTGAGGAGTATTGGAGTTAGCTCTTCTTTGAATTTCTGGTAGAATTCTGCACTGAAGCCATCTGGGCCTGGGCTTTTTTTGTTTGGGAGACTTTTGATGACTGTTGCTATTTCATTAGGGGTTATAGGTCTGCTTAGATTGTTTATCTGCTCTTGATTTAGTTTTAGCAAGTGATGTCTATCCAGGAAATTGTCCATTTCCTTTAAATTTTCGAATTTTGTGGAGTACAGATTTTCAAAGTATGCCCTGATGATTCTCTGGATTTCCTCAGAGTCTGTGGCTATGTCTCTTTTTTCATTTCTGATTTTGTTAATTAGCATGCTCTCTCTCTGTCTTTTCTAGTTTGGACAGAGGTTTGTCGATTTTGTTGATTTTCTCAAAGAATCAACTCTTCAACACTCTGCTCTCACCGCTAGGCAGGACCTCCAGACAGAAACTTAACAAAGAAACAAAAGAACTAATTGAAGTTATGACCCAACTGGGTTTAACAGATATCTATAGAACATTCCACCCAAACACAAAAGGATATACCTTCTTCTCAGCGCCACATGGAACCTTCTCTAAAATTGACTACATAATAGGAAACATAGCAAATCTCCACAGATACAAAAAATTTGGAATAACCCCCTGTATCTTATCAGACCACCATGCATTAAAATTAGAATTCAACAATAACACAAATTGCAGAAACCCTACAAACTCATGGAAATTGAACAATGCCAGGAAATAATCAAATTGAGGACTTTTTTGTCTTTTTTTTTAAAACACATGAGAATTGGCTGTTTTATGTCTTTAGTGATTTTTTTTATGCCAAATGGCCCTAAAGAAGTGTTCCATAATTCCATAATTACCTAACTAGAAAGAACCTCTCGCCGTGCAGTGGTGGTGCATGCCATTAATCCCAGCGCTTAGAAGGCAGAGGCAGGCAGATCTCTGTGAGTTCAAGACTAACCTGGTCTACAAGAACTAGTTCCAAGACAACCTCCAAAGCCACAGAGAAACCTTGTCTCAAAAAAAAAAAGAAAGAACCTCTCTTTTTTGCATCTTTCTGCTGTACATGAAGCATATTAGGAGTATTAAATCTTAGTTGTATCATTTAGGGGGAAAAATCTGAGTCCTGGAAAACTTTTAAAAAATGCCACCTGCTCCCCAATAGTGTCAGATACCATTTGCCTTAAAAGAACCTCTAATAGCTACTGTGCTTTTCCAAATAAGCTTAGGACTCCAGCTTTGTCCTTAAATTTCCTTCTCCTTTTCATTCATCTGTAAGATGTCTTGGCCAGGCATTTCCAGCTCCATCATGGTCTTCTCTCGTTGCCTAGAGATGAACTATTTTCATCAGCAGTGTAAGTACCAAATAGCTAGCATCAGCCATCTTTCCCTTCTTGGCATAATTGTGGGGCCAACAGAGTCTAGAATTATGGTGTAAATCCTCAACTCCCAAAATGTAGCTTGATTCTTCAAAGTTCTCTTCAAAGCACTAGAAACTTCCAGGATTTTTCTATGTCCATTTCAAGTGTTTGGGTCCGCTAGAAGATTGTCTTAGAAAGACATTGTAACCTAGACCCTCAACTACTCTTTAGGTAGCTGCAAATTTATACAAGATTAAATTTGTGGTTCTTAAATGTGACCTTTTGCTTAGTAAGAGGTAGAGATACTTCTAAAAGAGATTCTTTTTGAATTGTGAATGTAAGTATAAAAATATAGGACTACTCTAGGTATAATTTAATCAGAAAATATAAACATGATTACTGGATTATGAAATATACCACCTTCACTAAATATCCATGTAGTACAAGAATAACAAAATGTGATTGCAATAAAATGATTGACCCCAGACACATATGAGTATAGTTTATTATATTTAAAATAAAAATATAAGTTTGCTGATCTTGAATCAGATTCTGCATAGCCTTTTCTAGGTAATAGATGTCAATTATATATCTGGTTCAGTGTTATTTAAAAATCATGTATAATGGTCACCTTTTTGTAAATTAACTTCTTTAATATACAATGCAATCCTTGACTCAACTGAAATTCAATTTAAAGCAATTAATTCTGTATCCGCCCCTTCTCTGAGATCTAGACTTTAAAAGCAAAGACTTTTATATTTATTGAGTAGGAAATGAATTTGAAAAAAAATCTTCTAGGTAGAATTTATACTTAAAGCATTACCAATAAGTTTCATATTAATCATAAATTATGTTTTATTTTTAAATTAAAATTTGTATTACATCTGTTTGTGTGTGTGTGCATGTGTGTGTGTGCGTGTGTGTGTGTGCCTGTGTGTGGGCATTTGTGTGCAGTGTATATGTGAAGTTAGAGGACAGAATGCATTAGTTACTTTTCTTCCACCACTTGGGTTCAAGGGATTGAACTCAGGTCTTATATTTGGCAGTAAGTGCCTGAGCCATTTCACCAGCCTCTATTGGCCTTTGTAAAAAATTCATTTCTCTTTTAAATTTCTGTTCTATTGTATTAATAGTTTTTTCTGCGGGTTGATAACATGTAGTTATTTATTCTTTTAAACTTTGAAAAATTTTAATTATTACATATTCCCCATAGCAGTAAGAGTGAGTAGATGGGCTATTCAAATGTGAGAGGTTCCATTCAGATTCCTGAGGCCTGCATAAATGCCAGCAGTCCTGGTTGACCGCCTGTAAACCTAACACTCAGGAAGCAGAGACAGGGATCCCTGACAAAAGCTGACTGGATATATCAAAGGAATCAGTGAGCTCTGGATTAAGGAGACCTTGCTTCATTGTATAAGATGGAGGAAGATATCCAACATTAACTTCTAGAATTCACACACATGCGAACATATACGTGTGCAGACTCACAAACATGTACACATGCACATTTACCACACACATGCACATCCACAATAGCAACAACAAAATATCCCAACACATAAGGTATATAGGAAACCTTTATCCTTTTCCTGGAATCTTTTCCTTTATGGCAAAAGTGTAAACATTACTAATTTAAAGCATTTTAAATATCACAATAAGGCTACAAATGAGCTCTGCTTATCCATGAATTAAAAGATTAGAATCTATAAAATCAAAATAAATGGCATGTAATATTTGTCATATAGTTGAAGAACTTGTACATTTATATTGGGGTATATTTATAGAAAAATGATGGAGCTTGTAGCTTATATTCGTGAAATATTTCTATATCATAATTTATTCTTTAAAATAAGTATACCATTTAATGGAATGCTACATATTGTTATTTTCCTTCTGGTGTTATTTTTAAGTGCTGGAGAGGCTATGTAGAGCTGACTACATGCTAGGCAAATGTTCTACTGTTACAGCTATATAAACTTCTATTATATTTAATCCTTTTAATGAAATATAGCTGTACATATTGTGTTTTACTATTTTAACAGTCATAGCTTACAATATATTTTATCACATATCTTTAATACCTGTACTAATACCTTGATTTCAGAAACATTTTAAACATAATCATTAGACTATAGCTATTTATGTATAAGGTATATTTAAAATTCTTTTAATTTTGAGGTTATAACATAATTACATCATGTCTCCCTTTTCTTTCCTCCCTCCAAACTGTCCTATATATCCTTGCTGTCTTCTAAAATTTGTCCTCTTCTTTTAATTGTTATTAAATAAATATATGTGTGTATATGTACATATATGTTTTTAAATATAAGCTGTTACTTATGTACATATAAGGTAGTTTAAAACTTCTTGGAATAGGATTTTCTAATTTTTAAGCCTTCAAAATAATTATCTTATCTAAAAACATCTTCTTAGCCTCATTGATACATGACAGCTCTCTCTCTCTCTCTCTCTCTCTCTCTCTCTCTCTCTCTCTTACTCTCTGTTATTCCCACTTTGATCCTTGGTCTTCTTTTCATTAGCATAATTGCATAAAACCAATTACTAGGGCAGATAAACTCCTAGTCCTTAAAACCATCGTTCCATAAAAAGCAACTCAAATGAGTTAGAAACAAGAAATAGGCCTTGCAAATTTTGCTTTAAAGTCGCTGCTTCATTTTCATTGAAGCCCCATGCATAAAAATTATATGTATTTTAAGACTATTCTGCATACATTTTCAGACATCACCCTTTACTTTTAGCATTTTTTTTCTTTTTAGTGGTCCTTTTTGTTTTATTTTCATTCACTTAAATCATAGACATTTCATAGTAGAAATTCAATTATGGGTTTACAGTAATTCTAAATGCTATACTTTTAAATTACTTTTTCTTTATTCTGTTATACCTTAGTTATATGGTGAATAACTTAAACTGAAAAATTTCTCAGGCCAACTATATGATATAAAGAACATACTACAATTGAAACAAAACTAAATGTTAAAGCTGTATTATACTATAAGAATGTATTTATTTTAAAGTTGTCATATGCTGAATATTAGTTGAAATGTATAAAATTCATCTACTATAAAACATTAAGCTGTTGACACTATAATTAAACATGATTAAAATATTTGCTCTTGATGCTCTCAGGTTGATCTGCATTTTATGAAGAAGATTCCTCCCGGTGCTGAGGCTTCAAACATCATGGTGGGAGAGCTGGAGTTCCTAGAGAGAACTGTAGTCGCCTTTGTCAGGTTGTCTCCAGCTGTCTTGCTCCAGGGCCTGGCTGAAGTTCCAATCCCAAGCAGGTAAAAGTATTCAAGAATTTTTTATGCTTGCGAATTAATTTATTTTAGGAAATAGTAATATTTTAATGCAATTTTCTGATAGATCCTTGACTAGAAATGAATGTATTATCCATGAAGCTGCTGTCTCTTGCTTAGAAACATGGGGGAGTACTTTAAGAAGTACTCTACCCTCTCTTCTCCTTCTGGAACTTCCTATTTCATTACAGTGTGCTCTGCAGTGTAGAATCCAGGTCTGTTTTACAGTTTTTCAAATATTATATTGAACTATGTGTTTAAGAAGAGAATTTAACAGAGAGGATCATGGAAAGACAGCTTTGTTGGATTAGGCCTTTAACATCTGTGGGAATGGTTATATTGGGGTCAAATGTTTCATGCTTCAACCCTTGCATATTTGGTCCTTCATTCCCAGACTTTGAAGAACCATTTGTAGTCATCCAATGAAAGTGGTTGATTCTGGTCAAAAGACCAAGTTTAGTTTGGTTACCTGGACATGTTTCTATTTAATGGTGCATTAAAACTAATAGGTAAAGGTAATAAAAAAACTGAGCTCTATTACTTTTGATTCCTGCTTTATAGACATAAGGGTGCTCATGAGTATAACTCTGAGAAAATAAAAAGTAGAATATTGACTTTAGCATGTTAGACTTATTGCTTTATCTAGAAATCTTGTTTCCTTCTCTCCCGAGACCATTTGACCTGATTCCTATGCTCACCTGGCTTTGTCTAGCCATGGCAGAGTCTGTCTGCTTAGGGAAACTGAAAGGGTTGAGAAGTGCAGCTGCTGTGTCAAGTGGGTCTTGAAAATATTTTTTCTTCTGTGAACCTCTGACTATAAATCAAAATATAACACAAATCACTCCACTATTTGATTACAGATAAGATATTCAACAAGTAGGTAATAATAGTAGGACAAGCCTCATTCTGTAAGGACCCTTTTGGAAAGGCCTCTGTAAGGTATTCAGTTGGCGCACCTATCAGTTTTGTCTGAGTGAGAAACCTGGTTACAATTATGGTTACAGAGGTCAATTTCCATTTATTCCATTTGAAAGATACTGATACACATGCCAACTTTCAATTAAAAGTGAGGAGGTAAACTGATTATATATTAAAATGGTATATAATTGTTAATAAGGCTCTATTTTTCCATACATAAACTACATAGTATTAAGAGTTTCTGGATGCCAGACAGTGGTGGTGCACACCTGTTGTAGAATTTTATTTTAGTTAGGCAAAGATGTGCTACATTTGTTTATGCTGCATTTGTATAATTATGTAAAGATGTGTTGTTGTATTTGTTTCACCTTGCCTGCCTAAGATACCTGATTGGTCTAATAAAGAGCTGAACAGCCAATAGCTAGGACAGGGGTAGGTGGGGATGGCAGGCAGAGAGAATAAATAGCGGGAGGAATCTAGGCTTGGAAAAGGAGTGAGAAAAGAGAAGGATAAGAGAGGAGAGAATGAGGCACAGGCCTGGTGTCAGAAACTAGGCAGCTGCCAGCCAACAAACATGAGAATTTTTGAAAGTAAGATATACAGAAGGAAAGAAAAAGTAAAAATCCCGAGACAAACGGTAGAAACAGGTTCATTTAAGTTAAAAGAGCTAGCCAAAAATGAGCCTATTCTAGGCCAAGCATTCAAAACTAATAGTAAATCTCCATGTCATGGTTGGGAGCTGGTTGGTGGCCAAATAAAAGAAAGTCTGATAAGCACACTTCTAGTCCTAGCGCTTGAGAGGCAGAAGCAAGAGGACCTCTGTGAGTGTGAGTTTGAGGCAAGCCTGGCCTAGAGTGAGTTCCAGGACAGCCAGGTATACACAGTAAAAACCCTATCTCAAAAAACAAAGCAAACAACAACAAAAAAAGGAGAGTTTCTGAAAATCTAGAATTCTGATTTCATGTGTCATGCTTTGTTAAGAGAAGCTTTCCTTGAGAGGAGCCTTCCCGCCAGCCTGGTTCCAGAGCCACATCAGTCCCAAATAAACACACAGGAGGCTATATTCATCATGAAGCTGTTGGCCTTGCTTGTCTCTTACTGGCTAGCTCTGCCTTAAGTAATTACCCCATAATTGTTAATCTAAGTATGTTTCTTACCGGAGAATAGTTCCCGGCGTCCTACCCCCATGGCGTCACATGTTGACTCTCTTGTGTTTCCCCTTCACAGAATCCTCCTCGACTCCTAGTCCCTCCTATCTAGGTTTTCTATTGGCCAGACAGTACTTTATTGACAAATGCACAGGCAAATAACAGGACTTCCCCAACAATGCTTTCCATCTGTAGAGATACTGTAGCAGTTTCAAATTCCCATTCAGTTGGATATTCATATCTCATCACAGAGAAAGGTATTTGGAGACCTATGAGTAAATGAGGGCTGCTTATGACATTGACAGTTGATTTATTTCAAAGAAAAGAAAAATTCCCAACAGCAGAGTATAGTCATACTAGTGTTGTATACCCTCATTTTGAAGAGAGTCAGACTTTTTCAACAAAGTATGTGTAGAGTCAATGAAGAAAAATTAGGGGCACAACAGAACTACCATGTAGGGACAGATTGAAAGGACTGAGCTATTTATTTAGTAGGGGTGAAAAATGGAAGATTAGACGAATAGAATAAAAAATCTGTGAACTCCAATTATCCTCTCTTAAGAGGAAAAAAGGGCATGCATGCCATGACTGTAAAGGCAATATGCAGTAGATAAGTCAATAAATAGTCCTTTAGAGCTTAGTAAAGAGCACATGCAGTAGAAACTTTAAAAATAGCAAGATCCTCACAGGTTAGAAACTTTCTCAGAAGTATTTATTATAGTTGATAAAGCTTCTGCCACCACATTCAACTATTCTTGTTTTTTATGATTTATCAGTTATCTAATAGATGCTTCATATAAAATGAAGCTTACGGTTAAGTAAAGCTTACAGTTAAGCAAAGCATATAATTATATTAACCAAGAACTATATCTGATGGAGTCATCCTTAATAATGTAAACCATTTAACACACGAACACTACAGAAGACTACTGCAAAATACACGGCACTCTTTAATTATCACACCTTTTTCTTTTCTTCTGCCCAATAAAAATGTGTGTACAGTGACTGGATGTTAATAATGTGTTCTCTCCTAATGTATAATACTACTACAGTGCCATTCTTTCACTTGAATGGTCTTCACTTTGTGTACTTGTGAACTTTTCGGCTTCCTATTCAGAAAGATTTAATTTTCCTATCATCCTCTTCTAAGGACATAAAATGTTCCTAGTCACAAATGCATGTGCTGTGTGAGAGATAAATGCAGAAGCCTTGGGGTTAAAACAACCCAGTTTTCTCATTGCCTGATGATATTATACAGAAGTCTCAACCATAAAACTTTTCAAAATCATAATGAACAATCCAAACTTACACAAGTATTTCACAACGAAGTCCTCCATTTAAGTGATTCCGTTGAGATGGGCGATTCTGCTCTACGAAATTTATCGTTACATTTCTAGCTTGCGTTTTTTTCTTCTTAATTACAGATTTCTGTTCATTCTACTGGGACCCCTGGGAAAGGGTCAACAATACCATGAGATCGGCAGATCGATTGCAACCCTAATGACTGATGAGGTATTTATGTGTGTTTCTAAGGAATATTTTCCTCACAAGAATTTCTAGGTTTGGAGGTTCATTTCATGACAGTTACCTGGGAATCATATTTCATCCCATTTTCCAAAGTTTTTACTACTGACTTTCCTTGAGAAAAATTTATCCAAAAGGATAAATTAAAGCCATGAATAATAATTTTGAGAGACCACATGGTCTTAAAAATAGTTAAACATTTATAATATATTGTATTTTCAATAGTGTATATGCCAACAGTGTAACCACTGCTTATATGTTAATATCATAAAAATTTATTTGGGGCAAAATTACTTTGCTGTCTAAATAAAAAGTAGTAGTTAAGATGCATATGACATCAAAAGCTGGGTAAACTCTGCAAGCTCTCTGCAATTGCCTGACAATCTGTCTGTCTGTCCATCTATCTATGTATCTATGTATCTATGTATCTATTTATCTATCATCTATCTCTATCTGTATATCTATGTTCCTAACTGTGATCTTAAATATATTAATGGAGCTGTAGATGGATTTTAAGCGGCTACTGTTCTCTGTTATACAAGTATAATTGTTTGTAAAGGAAAAAAACCCTGTGTGGCTCTGTTTTGAATTATAAATGCTTTCATTAGCTTCTCAGAGAGATGTAAGTATCAAAAATGTAATATCTTAAAAATCTGAACCCATGAAAACTCAACTGTATGACTGATGAATCAAGATGTGACCAAAAACACCAGTAGATATGCTAATGAAAGAAGGTACTCGGGGGAGGGGGGCTATCCCTTGACAAAGAACTACAGTTAGCTAACAACGACTGAGAGAGTTAGTCTTCCTCAGGGCTGACCTTAGCTTTCCAATACCAAGGGGTCAGCCCCGAAAATGTACACACAAGCAACACTAAATAGATTTGGCAGATTCTGTTAATATATTTATTCATCTATATATGACACTAATAATCTTTATGAAGAGGTCATGAATTTGAGAGGGAGCATGTGGAAGGAGTTGGAGGGGGGAGATGGAGGATTGTTAATTTATTCAGGTATTTATTTTTTTTATTGGCCTCAGGACTACCTAATTGGCTTATGTTGATGCAAAACACACCTTTGATCTCAAAGGGAATAGAAAGGAATTTTTTAAGTCACTTATATGAGTGACTATGGCCTGTGAACACGGATCCAAGTTCCTTCAATTGTAACACATTGGTTTTGTGAACTTTTTTTTATTTTTTTTTTAAATTTTATTTTCCAGTTTAAATTTAGATAAGAAACAAGGTTTCTTCACAAGTCAGTTCCAGGTCAATCTCCCATTCCCTCTCTTCCTCCCTAGCCCTCCCCCCCCCCGTTATCCCCTCATTTCCCCAGGGAGGGTGAGGCCCTCCATGGGGGTGTGCATAGTCTGTCATTTCATATAGGGCAGGGCCTAGACCCTTCCCCAAGAGTTCGGGGTGAGAGTGCACCTCACATTGTTCTATGGGAGTCCAAAGTCCGTGTGTATACTTGGGATGGGTACTGATCTGCTGCCCAAGGCTCAATAGATTCCCTAGGCCTCCTCACTGACACCCAGATTCAGGGGGTCTTGATCAGTCCCATGCTGGCTTCCCAGGCTGATGCCTGGGATTCAAGAGTTAACCTTTGTCTGGTCAGCTGTTTCTGGGGGTTAAACCAGCCCAGTCCTAATCTCTTTGATCATCAGTCCTCCCTCTCTGTTACTGGCTTTCTTGAGTTCAGCTCAGTACTTAACTAAGGGAGTCTGCCTCTTCTTCGATCAGCCACTAAATAAAGTTTCTGTTTCCCAGACTCTCTGGCCATAGGATTGTAGGCTGGCACTCCCCAGATCTATGTCTAAAATCCATATATGAGAGAGTACATGCCATGTTTCTCTTTTTGTGACTGGGTTACCTCACTCAGGATGGTTTCTTCTAGTGTCATCCATTTGCCTGCGAATCTCATGATTCCATTATTTTTTTCTGCTGAATAGTACTCCATTGTGTAGATGTACCACATTTTCTCTATCCACTCTTCAGGTGAGGGACATCTAGGTTGCTTCCAAGTTCTGGCAATTACAAATAAAGCTGCTATGAACATAGTGGAACAGACATCTTTGTTGTATGAATTGGCATCTTTTGGATACATGCCTAAGAGTGGAGTTGCTGGGTCTTGTGGTAGGTTTATTCCCATTTTTCTGAGGAATCTCCATACTGATTTCCAAAGTGGCTGAACCAGTTGGCACTCCCACCAGCAATGGAGGAGTGTCCCCCTTTCACCACATCCTCTCCAGCATAAATTGTCATTGGTGTTTTTGATTTTAGCCATTCTGACAGGAGTGAGATGGTATCTGAGAGTTGTTTTGATTTGCATTTCCCGGATGGCTAAGGATGTTGAGCACTTTCTCAAGTGCCTCTCAGCCATTTTAGACTCCGCTATTGAAAACTCTCTATTTAGTTCTGCAGCCCACTTTTTAATAGGGTCCTTTGGTGTTTTGGAGACTTGCTTCTTGAGTTCTTTGTAAATTTTGGAGATCAACCCTCTGTCAGATGTGGGATTAGTGAATATTTTTTCCCATTCTGTGGGCTGCCTTTTTGTCTTTCTGTGTCCTTTGCTTTACAGAAGCTTCTCAGTTTCAGTAGGTCCCATTTATTAATTGTTGATCTCACTGTTATTCAGGTATTTATTATATGTGAACTACATATCAACACTTGTGCATGTGGTAGATAAAATGTGGGCAAGAGCTTTTTTATTCATTAACCAAATAGTTGAAAGACAGAGCGACATGGAAGTTAAATGTACAGCACAATGAAATAAATCCTAGGGAAGAAATCTTAAGAGCAGTGAAGGGAGATAGACAAGTCATAAGGAGCTTCCTAAGTTAAAGAGAGGACTTTTTGAGCCAACAATAAACAAAGACAAAGGTTTTGAGATGCGAGTATGCCTGGGTCACTTGGGACATTTAGAACAAAAGAGCTTAGCAGGAATGAGGCCAAAGAGGTAATGGGCCAACTGGGTAATGGGACATTGGCAAATCATAACATAACGTAGAATGACTTGGGAAACAAGTAGAAGAGTTTGAGTAGGGAACTGAGCCCCAAAGTCATCCTTAACTCATCCTTGATGCCTCCTTTTTACATCCATATCCAATCCATAAGTAAACCTTTCAGACTCAGACAGTATGTCCAGAATCCTACCATGTCTTACTTTCTGCATGGTTTGTGTCTCGTTTTTTCCATCACTTAGCTTTAGTGTTTCTCACAGGGGCCCCGCCATTGCATCAGTCTGTTGTAGAAACTATCTTTCTGATTTGTTTTGTTTAATTTTACTAGTAACACAATGGCTAGACCAATGTCTCTTCTGCTCAAAGCCCTCAAATGGTCTCCTGTTGTATTTAGAGTTTTGACTAATGTGGTTTTCTATAGCAGTCTCCTATTGAAAAGAGAACAAAAGAACTGTCTTCGGCGAGCGTTACACACATCTGTGGATATAAAATAGGTATTTAGAATTAGAAATCATGCTGGTTTAGGTAAGTAGCAATAGAATGTTATCTTATAAGACCCACTGCCTCAGTAGCCCTGGCTGGTTGTCTAGGATCAGGGCTTAAGTCCAGCAATAAGATATGGATGGTACTGTTGCATCCTTTCTGTTATCAGGCCATGCTGGGTGTTGATGTGGTTCGTAGATATTGCAGCTGTTTAGCAACATTGGTTGCTTTCCTCCTTTAGAAGCATGCAGGTCACCTGTGATATGAAAGCTAGTCTTCAGGAAGGAGGCTTTCAGATCAGGTACAGCTCAGAGTGTCTGATTCTTGTATCTGAAGTGTGTGCTGTCTTAAGGATCAGGGATTTATCTTCAGCCTTTGGAAGGCAACCAAGGGCAACAGCAATACTTCATATTGTTTGCCTCATCTCTTGGGCTTCCTGACTAACAACACAAGTGGGTGTTTCTCGTGCCTGGTATAGGGTTTTGTGAGATAGTCTATGGTTCCAGGGGTATTATTGTCGACCCAAGTGGGATCATTTCATTTGAATTATATACATATAGACTTGTTCGTGTCGTGTGTAAGTTTAACAGAGAATATGATCCCTAATGTACTTTCAGACCCCCTTAGCATGACTTCACTCTCCTCCCTCTCCTTCTGTGTTGACCATGCTCTCCCATATCAACTAAATTCTGTCACAGTGATTTTATCCATTTTCCCCTTATAAGTCACTTGTTCCAATTGCTTCTATTATTAATGATAAATGAGTGAATGCTACATTACTGCCACTGACACCACTTATTCTGCTGCCACTACAGTCACCACCACCCCTGGGCCCTTACAGCTGTTAAAACTGGGTAAATCAATCACAGTCTAGTGTAGGTCCCATGTTCAGGCCATAAATAGTTAGTTTAAGTGTGTATGTGTGTGGCATTTATTTATGTACCTACCTATTTATCTGTTTTTTTTTTATTTTAGTCACACTCCTTTAATCCCAGCACTGCAGATGCTGAAGTAGGCAGACGTCTGAGTTCTAGGTCAACCTAGTCTACAGAGTGACTTCCAGAGATACACAGAGAAACTCTATCTCAGGGGAGAAAAATATTATTGGGGCTGTTAAAAGTACCATATGCTCTTCCAGAGTACCTGGGTTCAATTCCCAGCACCTGCATGACAAAACACAACTATCTGTATCTCTAGTCCCAGGGGATCAGACACCCTTCCCCAGACTTACACACAAGCAAAACACCAATGAACATGAAGATAAATTATTGTTTATTTTATTTGTTTTTCTTTTTAAATCAATTTTATTTAAATTAAGAACAATCTTATTTTACAGACCAAATCCAGTTCCCTGTCCCTCTGATCCTCCCATTCCCTCCAGCAACAACCCAATTCCACCTCCCAACTACTTCTCAGGGAGGGTGAGACCTTCCAAGGGGCGTGTTCAAAGTCTGTCACATCATTTGGGGCAGGACCTAGGCTCTCTCCCATGTATCTAGGCTGAGAGAGTATTACTCCATATAAAATGGGATCTTAAAGCCCATTTGTGCACTAGGGATAAATACTGATTACGCTCTAGAGGCCCCATAGACTGCTCAGGCCCCCCAACTGGCATCCACGTTCAGGGGTCCTCGTTTAGTCTTATGATGACTCCCCAGCAGTCAGTCTGGGGTCTGTGAGCTCCCCATTGTTCAAGAACTTTGAGTCTTTAAAGAAATAAATTAAAGAAGATATGAAAAAAATGGAAAGATCTCCCATGATCTCTGATAGGTAGGATCAATATAGTAAAAATAATATAGATTACCATAAGCAATCTACAGATTCAATGAATTCCCCATCAAAATCCCAGAACAATTCTTTATAGACCTTGAAAGAACAATACTCAACTTTATATGGAAAAACAAAAAAACACAGGCTAGCCAAAACAACCCTGTACAATAAAGAAACTTCCAGAGGAATCACCATTCAGGACTTCAAACTCTACTATAGAGATATAGTAATAAAAACAGCTTGGTATTGGCACAAAAACAGACAGGTTGACCAATGGAATTAAATTGAATTGATCACCTGATTTTTTGACAAAGAGGCTAAAATTATACAATGGAAAAAAGAAAGCATCTTCAGAAAATAGTGCTGGCATAACTGGGTGCTGACATGTAGAAGATTGCAGACAGATCCATATGTATGGCTATGCACAAAATTTAAGTCCAAATGGATCAAAGAACTCAACATAAATTCAGCCACACTAAACCTCTTAAAGAGAAAGTGGGAAGTACCCTTTAACGAATTATCATAGGAGACCCCTTCCTGAAAACAAACTTAAAAACAATGTTTTTTAAAAAATCTGTATTGAAGCCCAATAAAACCAATGTTTACCAAAAAATTCTATAATTAAATATTTTATTTAGTAATTAGGTGTACTTTATTTAATATAATCATTTTACTTACAAAACGATTATGAGAGGATAATCTGAATCTTAAAATCAGTATTTATGTAAGGTAATACTGCGCTTTTCCTGCTTTAAAAAAATAAATGTAGCTATTTTCCCCCATCGAAGATGCTTTTGCAGCAGATAGAAACTGTCACAGGTTCATACCTGGTCATTAAGGCAAAAAATAAATGACTGTGGAGGACACAAGCACTATGTAACCAAAAACCTAATGCTCAGGGAAGATCATGGAAGAAAGGGTTGAAAGACTAGCTAACTGGTCTCAGGTTGTTAGCCACCTAAGCAGTGTCAGGAATGGATTCCATTCTGAGGAGTGGGCCTTACGTCAAATCAGATGTTTGTCGATTACCCCCTCAAGCTTTATGCCACCATTGCCCTAGCATGTCTTTCAGGTAGGACACTATTGTAGAGCAAAGGGTTTGTTATCCAGTTGGTGTTTACTTTTCTCTTTTGGTGGTATACAGGGTACCTTCTTGTAGCAAAGATGATAGCACATAGGTGTGAAGGCTATGTAGGTACCAGCTCAACTTCTCCACGTTCAATGAAGTTATGTAGGTGTAGTCTTCAGTAATATCACTTAAGGGGTCTTGACATCAGTTTGTGGAGAGAAAACTGTCTTAGAAACAGACTGGGTTATGTGGGGATCCCCATGTGACCTCTTTGGCCAACAACTCAAATAGATGTAACCCAGTCCCAGGGTCATTTGGTGACAAGAGATAACTAGTTGGGGTGCTCTGTCTCACCCATTGTTAAGTGATTTCATGTAGATCACCTTCATATGTGTATATATGTTAGGAAGTTTTTACTGTATTAGGTTTCCATACTACCCCTCAAATGTCCCTCAGTTATGGCTATCTCTTTCTACGTACCCTCCCTTGTTGTCCTCTCTCCACTTGATCCTCCCATTCTAGCTCCCCCAATACTTCCATCCTATATGGATCCCATCCTAGGGAGATCTATCTGTACCAGCACCCCCAACCCCTTACTCTATACCTAACCTCTGTGGTTCTATGGATTGTAGCTTATTTATCGTTGATTTAACAGCTAATATTCACAAATGAGCAAGTGCAAAACATGTTTGTATTTCTGGGCTTGAGATGCCTCATTCGTAATTATTTTTTTCTAGTTCCATCCATTAACCTGAAATTTCATGATTTCAGTTTTTAATGACTGGGTAATACTCCGTTTTTAAAGGAAATATGTCACATTATTTTCTTTATCCATTCTTCTGTATGGGACATCTAGTTTGTTTCCAATTTATGGCTATTATGAATAGAGCAGCAATGATCACACATGAGCGAGTGTCCTTGTGGTAGGATGAAGCATCCTTTGGATATATGACCAAGAGTGTTACAGCTGGATCTTGGGGTACATTGATTCCTATATCCCCTAGTAACCACCACATGAATTTCAATAGTTCCTGTAAAAGTGTGCACTGCTACCAGCAATGGAGGAGTGTTCCCCTTTCTCCACATCCTCTTCAGCATGAGCTGTCTCTTGTTTTACCGATCTTAGCCGTTCTGACAGGTATACAATGAAATCTCAAAATAGTTTTGATTTGCATTTCCCTAATGGCTAAGGATGTTAAACATTTAAGTGTTTCTCAGCCATTTGAATTTCCTCTGAGAATTCTCTGTTTAGATCTGCACCCATTTTTAAATTGGTTTATTTGTTTTCTTGATACCTAGTTTTTTGGATTTTTTTAATATTTCATATAATAGCCCTCTATTTGATGTGTAGCTGGTGAAATTTTTTTCCTATTCTGCAGGCTGCTGCTTTACCTGATTGACAATGTCCTTTGCCTTACAGAAGCTTTTCTGTCACATGAGGTCCCATTTATTAATTGTTGATCTTAGTGTCTGTGCTACTAGTGTTTGTTTCAGAAAGTCTTCTCCTGTGCTGTTGAGTTCAAGGATATTCCTCACTTTTTATTCTAATAGGTTCAGTGTATCTGGTTTTATGTTGAGGTCTTTGATCCATTTTGAGTTGAGTTTTATGCAGCATAATAAAATGGACCTATTTGGATTCATCTTCATGAAGCCATCTAGTTTGACCAGCACCATTCGTTAAGGATGCTGTCTTTATCTTCCAGTGTGTATTTGTGGAATATATATATATATATATATATATATAAATCTACATACGCACGTACATATACAGAAATCTACATATACACACATATACAGGAATATACATACACATATACATGTACAGAAATATACACATGCATATATCTATAGGTATATGGATTTATGTCTGTGTCTTCAATTTGATTCCATTGGCCGAAATGCCTATTTTGACCAATGCTGTTTTTTTATGATAGCTCCGTAATATACCTTGAAATTGGGCATGGTGGTACCCACCTCCCACACATACACGCACACATAACTTAATTCTTTGATTACTCAGGATTGTTTTAGCTATTCTGGGTGTTTTGTGTTTTCATATATATAAAGCCAAATTTTTCTTTCAAGGTCTGTGAATAATTGTGTTGTAATATTGATGGGCATTACATTGAATCTGTAGATTATTTCTGGTAGGATGGACATTTTTATTATGCTAATTCTGCTAATGTTTTTAATATGTTACTTTGTGCTACTGCTTTTCTTCTGTAGGTATTTCATGATGTTGCTTACAAAGCTAAAGACCGCAATGACTTGGTGTCAGGGATTGATGAGTTTCTGGACCAGGTCACAGTTCTCCCTCCTGGAGAATGGGACCCAAGTATCCGGATAGAACCTCCAAAAAATGTTCCTTCCCAGGTAGGTATTTTGAAAACATTTTATTTAATTCTAACACTTTGGTTTCCTTTAAATTCCGGTCCCTAAAATAATGCAATGCATCATAAAGTATCAAATGATGTAACCTATTCCAAGAAAGCAAAAATATTAATTTACAAAATGTTCTTGATAAGACCTAACACATTGAGAAATTTGGCATTTTGATCATGAGTCACTAAGTGAGTCTCATATGCGTGGAAATATTTCAAACCCAACATAACAGATATTACATTGGGGAGATACTAAATGTAATAGCAGCATAAAACATGACCTGAGATAAAGCTCATTATTTTAAATGTTTTGGAAGTTGATAAGTATTAGGAAAATTAAAAGGAGGATTAACCATGTTTTGTACAAACTCCCTATTACTGCTAATCACAATGGAAATTGGGAAATGTTTTTCATCATGATTATGTTTGTATCCTTTAATGTATGGTATAGTTTTAATTCTGCCCATGTAAATCAAATTCATATTTTACCTATTCTCTATTACAGAAGGAAATATTTAAAACTGTTGTTAATGTTTATGGCATTGTCATATCTCAGGCATGACTGTTGAAAATGATGGCCAAATATCTGCAAAATTCTATTTTCATATTGCCTCTTTGTCCCTGAGGCATCTGCCTCCCACATTCTTCCAGGTGCTTTTGGCGCTTGGTCCTGCAGAGTCCAGCCTCTGGACTGACGATATCAGAAATGGCAACACAACAATTTCTAAAATGATAGAAAAATTCTAATTAATGATACTTAGATAAATTTAATGAAACTATTGATATTGAAAGCAAGACTTTGTAACTCTAACAACAATTAATCTTGAAAAGTTAAAAGTAAGTTAATTTTAAAATATCCTGGTTATGAGGAATGGTGTTTTTGAGGCAAGATCAATGGTTGGAAATTTGTATTTCATATTATTTTTATCACAAAATAAGAATTAACAAATTCTAGGTATTGGGAGAGACATTGAGTTAGGGATTCTAGTATCTAGATTCTGCCATTGTGTGCTTGTTTGACCTTGAATAAATGCTTTATCCTGTCAGTACTGATGCTTTGTTTCAGAACTGCTCAATAGAATTTCTCCAATAAAGAAAGCATTATATAGTGATGCTCCCTAATCACCCAGTTATTAAATGCTAGTAATGTGGCTACTGCAGTTAACAAATTGAATTTTTATTTTAGTTAAACTTGTATAGACACATGGTTAAAGGCTATATAAAATATTAGGTAGCAAAATTTTATTCAATGAATATGAATTATCTATATACATTGATACTTCATTATAATTTTAATACTTTAAAACTCTATACTATATTTAAATACTAGATCATATGAGTTCTGTTTTCTTATTAAGGGACAAAATAATTTAGCATATATTATGTACCTTGAATTCACACTCATTTATATAATGTTAATCTCATCAAATAATTTATGTGTTTTTTATTCTCTTGAAATGAATGAATGACAGCATTTTTAATACATTTCCTTTCAGTTAAAAAAAGAACAGGGGTTCCAGAGCTCCCCCTTGTTCAGATCAGTTGTTTCTGTGGGTTAAACAAGCCCAGTCTTGGCCCCTATGCTCATCAGTCCTCCCTCTCTGTCACTGGATTCCTTGAGTTCAGCTCAGTGTTTAGCTAGATGAAATGACAGACTATGGATACCTCACCCTCTCTGGGAAAAGGAGTGGGTACTGGGCGAGAGGGATAGGGGGATTGGTAGGAGAGCATGGGAGGAGGGGAAGGAGAGGGAGAGGGAGCTGGGATTGTCATGTGAAGCAACCTTGTTTCTAATTTAAATTTAAAAATAAAAAAGAGAACAACCTGTTATTTCAAGAGATCAACCCGAAATTCTTCTTTATCCTCCAATGTCATTCATTGTAATCACTTTCTTACATGTTCCTCCATCTTCTTTGTTCTCTTCAGGTCATGTACTTGGTTGTCAAAATCACAACTCCACAAGGATTCAAATTTTACTGTGTACCCACACTGTTGTTGCTGTAGCAACTTCCCATCACCTAATGATCATTGGGCTCAAATGAGTCCTTTATGCTGCCTGTTCACCATCCCATCCTTCTCATTGTTTTTAAGTGTCCATTGCACACTTGTGCTCCAATTTTTAGCAAAACCTCTGTGACTCTTGACGCTGTATGTTTACTGTTCCTCAGTTTTATTAACATTTTGAAACAATCAAAAAGATCTTCCATAGATCCAGACCAGCACATCCCTACGTTGCTTCTGATGAAAGTTAACATTCTGGTGTGCACCAGATCCGATCTCTTTAGTCTCCTCAAGGACTTTGCTCTCTCATCATTATATCAGTCTTTTGTGTAAGAATACTTTTAAGTCACAATCTTTAAAAAAAACAACAGCTTTATTATCATTACTATTGTCATCCAGTTACATACTTTGTTTTCCTTTGCAATAGAATGTTGTAGAGAAGTTCTCTATACTATATGCCTCTACTACGTTTTCTCCACTTCTCCATAAATATCTATCCCGATAGGCTCTGTCCCCACTTTACCCCACTAAACTAATTATTGCCACCAGTGTCATCCACAATGAATAGAAACCGTGGTAACTTATTGATCTATAATGCACTTAATGCAGGAATAGCAACATTTGATGGAATTGGTGATGCCCTTATCTTTAGTGTGCTTTCTTTGCTTAGCACCTCAACAACAGTCTCTTGGTGTTTCTGCAGTCTCCAGGGTCAGTCCCCTACCTGTCTTTTTTTCTGGGTCTTCCACCTCTCTCTGATTTCTTTATGTTGAAACTATCTCTTAGACCATAACCATGTTCTCTCTAGTCACATTTTCTGCTATCTACATTCATGTTCTTAGTAATATCATCCAATCTTAGAATTTAAACATTTTTCCAAACTTATTTTCTAAACTGAACTCACGTGATATTTGTCTTCCTGTCTTACGTCTCCACTTGAATATTTGGTAAGTATGTAAACTGAACATTTTGAGAGTTTAAGCCAAATTGTATACGGTCTCACTTCTTTATCTTTCTCTACTTTTGTGATTACAACTTTAAGACGAACAACATATGATATGTTTCCAGGAGTATAGAAAGATCTCTAAGTTTTCCTCAAAATCAATTCTAATAGTATCTTCCAAACTTAGTCAATAGCTAAAAACATTCTTATAATTGATCGAGCCTAAGTAATCTATTATTTTATCTTATAACTTATACCTATTCTCCCAGAGAATTCTGTTGGCTTTACTTTCAATGTTTATCATAATTTATGTTTCTTTCTCCCTGTTACCACCCTGATTCAACCTTCCATCGCCTTTCTCAGAGATACCTCCCAAACTGGTTGCTTCATTCTGTGTCCTAGAATCTCTCCCCAACATCAAAGTCAAAGTAATTCCCAGTTCTGATATATATATATATATATAGATAGATAGATAGATAGATAGATATAGATATGGATATAGATAGATACAGATATAGATAGATAGATATATGTTTCTCTCTTCAAAACCTTGGAAATATTTTTCATTTCATGGAGAATAAAAGCCAGATAGTTATGCTGGCTTATTAAGTCTCTATGCCATCACACACACATATACCCATTTTCTGGGTCTTTATTGCCACTTCTTACTTCCTGGTGTTCTTCAAACCTTCCAGGCATTCTGATCCTAATGACTGTAGCACTCGCTGGTCTTCCTTGGTATCCTCCAATTATTCAGCATGCCTATTTTTCTCACTTTCCTCGTGTTTTCTCAAGTGGCCCTTTTCCACAGGGCCTATTCAAAAACTCAGTTTGTAGTTGCCACTCTTGGCTTTCCTCCCAGTCGCCTCAGACACTTTGTATTCCATGCAAAAAATTTCCTTTTCCATAGAGTTCCTTCTTTTTAAATTTTTTTCTTTTTCTTTCTTTTTTTTGAGTTCCTTCTTTTTAACATATTTAAGTTTTGAAATTTTTCTGTATTTCCTATAATAATATATTCTTTACAAGCCTAATTTATCTACTGCTGTACTATAGGGGTTTTTCCACACATATAAAAAATGTGTGTTTTTTTCACAACTACAATAGGTTCTATTTCTTAAGAATACTTATTGATATTATTTATGCACCCTACATTTTTCAATGTATTTTACTCCTTGAGAAAACATGTGCTTTAGAATGGTTAATGCCATAATTATCTATTTTATCAACATATGGCTCTTTTAATTTGTAAAGCAAAAGTTAAGTTATACAAAGGGGATTATTTCCACAAATGGCCAGATATCACTTGCTTTCTGAGAACTTTAGAAGCTGTGGCATGTTTCCATAGGTTATTGGAAATAATGATGGCCACTCTTAATTCATGTTATAAATATTTTATATTTACCTGTGAAGATAAGCCTCTCATCAGTTGAAATATGTCTTCTCTTTTATCTTTAAACTTTAGTCTAGTGCATCTTTACATATACATGTAGAAATTGTATAAATATTAAATAAGGAACATTATTTGTGGTTAATACAAAACACATTTTGTCATAGGTGAAAATGTCCCATTGTGCATAAGATAAACAAATGTATCAATTTTGTGCTTCACAATCATACTAATTCTAGTTTGGAATGACAGTCAAGTAAAAAATTTAATTACACAACTTAAGAGTTCTTTATCATTCTTTAACTACTTTTAAAATGCATTGGTGTGATCTAAGATGGAATTTTAGAGAGACTTTCTGATTTGTTTATTTCAGATATCTCTGACAGCAACAAAAGAAAGTGGATTTAATCTGAGGGAAAAGAGCACTTGCATAAAGCGCAGTTAATTTGCCATTGGTTCAAGTAGAAGCTTCCTTTTGTAATAGAACCGTGTTTGCATCATGAAGATTTAATAGCATAAATTATTCCTTTCTATAAAGGCATGATCTAGAGGAATACAAACAATAGTACTTAAAAATAGTTAACATGGTAGATACTTTTTCTTTCTTCTCTTTCTTTTATAACAGAAATTGAATTCAGAGGCTTATACATTTAGACAAGTACCATTCCAGTGAGCCATGTGTATCCCAACCCTAGAACACTGATATTTTCTGTATACCATTGTAACTATGGTATCTTTATCAACATATGGCACAAAATTGGGCACCCCATAACTAGTAGGTGTATGAATTAAAAAATGCTGTCACTCACCTAGTTAATCCATAAATAAGCTCTGTTGTCATCCCCAATGATGAAGGAAGAATGAAAGCTTTGGGAACTGGATGGATTTTCATAAGTTAAGTCATAGAACCTGTGGACTTAGCCCTTCTACACATGGCTTTACTGAGAAAAAAAGGTTTTGTCATCAATGTCTGGCATTACAACAAAATATACACCAACAAAAACTTTTCTGCAGGAGAAGAGGAAGATTCCTGCTGTACCAAATGGAACAGCAGCTCATGGTGAAGCTGAGCCACATGGAGGACATAGCGGACCTGAGCTCCAGAGAACCGGAAGGTTAGTGCAAACCACTTGTATGGGACTTAAATTGTGTATCATTCTTATCTGTCAGGAATTGTTGTTTCTAGACCTAATTTATTTTATACTTTTAATAGCTACTCTTTGAGAGTGAAAAGCCAATTAATTTGATTTCTCTGAAGTGAGTAATGATTGTCACTGCTGTTAAAACAGAACAGTGGCTACACCATTCCATCTTAAACTAGTCTTTCATTTCATGAAGCATAAAATACATTCACAGAGTCTTAGAATGAGTCTAAGAAAATTGTCAGTTGATGCTTCCAAAACAGCTTGTTGAAAGCTTCAAGTTCAAGATGGAAATAAAACTAAATACCAAGAATTGAGTCCTGTAGACCTTACCTCATTAAATGCTAGTAGGATGTATATAATGGTATTTTTAGTATTATGTCTGTGATGTGAAGGAGCTATATGATTTATTTTTCTAATCACACACCTTTGAAGAGATGAAAGCTTCAATTTATTTCATAAAATGTTTTTATGGGTTTTTGACAGCTTGTCTTTCTGCAAGCAATGTGTGAGGAGAAAATCAGAAACCCTTGGGTGGATGTCTCTTCAGGGAACTTGTGTGGACAGCCTCCCTATAATTAAAGACAATTGCCAAGGCTTTGTAGGAATGGTGGCCCTCCCCTTGGGCCATTTTCTGTACTGCTTGCAGTATGCTCACTGAGCTGATGTTCCTGTCCCTGACAACTCTGCATTTTAATTCTGTGTTTTCCCTTTATCTCTGTTTGTCTCTGAGGATATGTCCTTTGGCATCTTCCTTGGCTTCATAACTATTTTTAGACTGTTCAAGTTTTTCCTTTTCCCTTCACTGGAAGCCTTGTTATTCATTCTGTTTGTTTTCATACTTTCAAATACAGTCTTTTTACTTTTGGTGGTGGTATATTTTTTTCCTTTTTCTCTCAGGTGTAACATGCCACATAGCTTAGATTTTTTTCGAGTTCACTTTCCTTACTGCTTCCTAAATCCTCCCAGGTCAACAATATCCGGTATCTTCGCTTCTCCAGCGTTCTTCCACAGATTCTGTTGCTGACATGACTTGAAGTATCCATTACTCATCTGCTCTCCTGGAGTTGCTGGTGCACATCTGGGCTGCTCTTGCACTTTCTTCTGTAATGAACTCCCACTTCTGGATTTAGATTTTTACCGATAAAAGCACATTTATTACATAACTATATAATAACTATTCAGACTAATGTATGATCTAATAAGTAATCAACTACAAAGCAGTGGTCTAATATAAAATGCTATCAAAACTATAAATATTAATTACCAATTAATAGTTCATAATTATATTGAATTATTTTTAGAACTAGGTAGGATATAAATCATAAATGAATGCTAGTAGAATAAATCTGCTTTGAGCTGTGAGTTTGACAAGGTAACATTATTGAGAAATAGAAACTATTCAGCATTAATATGTCATACCAAACACAGTTAAAATGACCTGGGAGAGTTTGAATACCTATAAAGTCCACATGTTCTCTGGAAGTGCTTCTGAGTTTCAAATGTCCTTTTGTCTCAAACTTCTATTCATCTCAATCCTTTCTGTTTGAAGACTCATTGTATAAACAGTGATGTTACACTCACATGTCATTAGATAGTTACTAATAGACAAATATTACGTCTCCATCAGATCAGGGGAATTTAAAATGATGAGATGGTTCAGTGCTGAGCCCAGTACCCACAAAGTATGAGGAGAGAACTGACTCCCTCAAGTCGTCCTCTGAGAAATCACAAGCATGCAATAGATAAATAAATGAAAAAAATCCATTGAGTATAATTTCAAAGTCAAATATTACTTGGTTCTTAAGAAAACAATTATTTTTGAGATAATGCTGCAAATAATACTCATAAGATAACAATTGTTTAATTTTATGATCCAAGAACATTCAGCATAGTATCAGAATTCAGGAACCTCACAGGTTTTGCTTTATTCCTTTTTTTGAGACAAGGTCTTGTTCTATGTTTCAGATTGGCCTCAAACTCACAACCCTTCTGCCTCCTGCCTCTGGAGTGATGGCCTTTTGTCATGTGCAACTCTGCCCTCCTTTAAAATATTTTTTAATCATTGACCTTCGCATAGGAACCATATTGCAGTCTTACTTTATAATCACATATTTATTCCATGGAATAAAATAAACTTTTAATATCAAATATTAAATTTTAATGTTATCAAATATTGAAATAATGATAACCCCTACTTATAAATGTTCTCATTCCTAATACACTAAAGAATGCTGGTGCTCAGATATTAAACATCAATTTACAATTTCAAACTCCTGAGCCAAGACCCTTTGAAGTATTTCAAGGTGTTTTTCTTCATCATATTTGGAATAAGCGAATTATTTCCAGGAAAGGCCATTGTAATTGATAGGTGTTAGAATGTGTGTTGGCAATAGTAGATCAAAATAACATTTATCTGGTTTTATTATATTAGGTTAACTTCTCAGTTTCCTAAAACTAAAAACAACCTTAGAGCATGTCTATTGAATGTTGCTACCCACATGCCCATTTAGCTGTCCTCTTGGATGAGGTTTTGTTGAAGGACTTTAATATTAACAGAGGGACTAGGTGACTGGAGTCATAATTGAACATGGCTTTATTCTCTTTAAGGTGATGTTTGCTACCAGAATTCACAAAGACCAATTGTCTCTCTGTCTCATTCTAAATTAAGTGCAAAGTATTAGGAAACACTTCCAAGGTTGACAGTGAAGGCCTGAGTTTAGATGGTGTGTGTTAATGAGGAAATGACACAGACATTGAAATAATCCACCAATCTCATTATTTGAAATTTGATTGACAAATCTCGTTTGAGATCTTGGATGAGAAATCTTGGATGAATCCCCTGGATCTTGCTTGAGAAACCCCGATGATTTTTAGTTGTAGGCACATTATTTGGGTGTTGTAGTAGTGCAAAGCTATTCCTGTAGGTCATTATAATACAATTGGTAGTCTAATAGGGGTCTCATCTGTGCTGGTGGAAAGTATTACTGTGACCAGGCAACAGAACACATGCACATTTTAACGTGTTATCTTTGGGTTTCACTGTTGTGTTTTCCCCCCATGTCTTAGGATTTTTGGGGGCCTTATATTAGATATCAAAAGGAAAGCTCCATTCTTCTGGAGTGACTTCAGAGATGCTTTCAGCCTGCAATGTTTAGCATCTTTCCTGTTTCTCTACTGTGCGTGCATGTCTCCTGTCATCACATTTGGAGGACTGCTGGGAGAAGCAACTGAAGGGCGCATAGTATGTATTTTGCTTTTCTCTGGACTTTGAACCCTAATCTGGTTTGTTTTTTAGATTTGTCTTTATGTAAGAAAGCACTGGATTTAGGATTTTGAAGGGAGATTTGATACATTGTCCAGGGAAATAAACTTCCTATGAATTTCCTGGATGGCTAGTGGAGCTGGTGACCTGGAAATAGAATGTCTAGGAAATGCTTATTTTGAGTCTTATACAAGGCTATGGCCTGATGCCATGTCCCTTGATCTAAAATTCTACATCAGTTTTAGGTTCAGTCCATTTTTTCCAACACCCAAGCCATGCTTCTGTTCAGAAACTGATTCTGAAAATATTCAAATATTTTATAAAACAGTAAAAAATGAAGCAAGACGGTATAACTACACTTCCCAGAGGCTGTCGCTAATTTTCTACTCCCACATGCCATTTTCTCAGCTGTATTTCTCATATTCTGCCTGGGGTTGCTAGACTTAACATGGTGAAGGGTAAAAACGTGAACCTACATATTTGAAATATATGTACCTAATACGGTGACTGCCTGTTTAGCTTAGGTAATGGATCCATCTGCTTTTTCTTTCACAGAGTGCAATCGAATCACTCTTTGGAGCATCTATGACAGGGATAGCCTATTCTCTTTTCGGTGGACAACCCCTTACCATATTAGGCAGTACAGGACCTGTTTTGGTATTCGAAAAGATTTTGTTTAAATTTTGCAAGTAAGTATTATTATTACTCTTGTCTACTATATGCTTTTTTTTCTTCATCCAACATCAGTTTTGGAGGTCTGTGGGGAGAAGTGAAATTGGCTGGTATAATTCAGGTTGTCATTTTTGTCTCTCAATGGAAATGAAGGAAAAGTTAAAAGATTTCTACATATATCACACATGCAATATTTATAAGAAACAAGATTCCCCTGGATGAAATGACAGTCACTGGAGATCCACCATAGAGGGCCTCACTCTCCCTGGGGATGGGAGTGGAGATTTGGTGGGGGACTGGGGGACCTAGTGGGGAGGGGAGGGGAGGGGAGGAGGGGAGGGAGAGGGAGCTAGGATTGGCATGTGAAACAAGCTTTTTTTCTAACTTACATAAAAAAATAAAAAAAAAAGAAATCTTAAGCACCAAGAAACCTCCATTAGTTTGTCCCCTTGGATTTCTCTATGGACAAAGTCTTACGCTGAGAGACTCGTGGGACATGAAGTTACTCACTTTCACTTCCTGAATTAATCTTATTTCCACCTATTTCAATGGTATCAAGCTGTAAAATGACCTCCTTTCCCCCACTTTCCTGTTTCTCCTAGAGAATATGGGCTGTCATACTTGTCTTTACGGGCCAGTATTGGGCTTTGGACTGCGACCCTGTGTATCATCCTTGTGGCCACTGATGCGAGTTCCCTTGTCTGCTATATCACCCGCTTTACTGAAGAAGCTTTTGCTTCACTTATTTGCATCATTTTTATCTACGAAGCCCTGGAGAAGTTGTTTGAACTCAGTGAGGCCTATCCAATCAATATGCACAATGATTTGGAACTGCTGACACAGTACTCGTAAGTCTGATTTCTGCTTTTGGCTGCCAGGCTTCTCTCTTCACAAAGATTGCTACTGTTTAAGAAATATGATGGCCTTACTCAGCTTAGAGTGTGCCTTAAATTGACTCATGCCTACATCCTGACTTTTAGAGCCAAATAGAATTTTAAGTCATCTAATCAGTCACACGTCTGATTCTTGGGTTCTTGTTACAGCGTTTCTGCCGAGAGCATCTCTCTAAAGCTCTGCTTGTCAAGGGTCCCATGAAATAAACACATAATTAACCAGGTCAATATAAATGCAGATTGGTTTGGTGTTTCCAAACTGTATCGCTTTGTTCTTCTTTTAAGTTCAGGTTTAAAGAAGCTAAGTGAACGAAACTCTTCGATTCTATGTTTTAGTAGTTTGATGTTTGAAATTGTGATTCAAGACGGATGAAAACCAACAAACTTAAGGTTTCCTTTTGCTTTTGGATGCTTGTGATAAAAATATTCAGGTATTAGTTGATGAAGTAGATATACAGTTCAAGACTGAGGAGGAATTGGAGCTTTCTGATTTTGATCCACTAGAAATCAGGGAGTGCTCTAACACTGAGCCCGTAGAGTAACCATGATCATTACATAGTATTTATTTAATTTTAGGACTTTTGTTCCACTTATGTATGGAATTTCACAGAGCAAATGTTTGAAGCTCTGTGCTCCTCATCAGGCACTTTAACCTCTATTCTAGCCACAAGCACCACTTAGATATATCTCAGACACTATAAATATTTCTTAATTGCTGGAAATTCAATGTCAAAATTACATAGTGATAGTTTAATGTCGTAACTTTTAAAGAGTGAGATAATGATTCATTGTTAAAAACAACATGGTTCTTAGGATTTAACATTTTCTGCCCTTTGTCGAAAGCTTAAAACAAAGTATATGTATTTGGAAGCAAGAAAATTCAAGATTTACATGTAGGATAATTTTCAGAATAAAAATAATATTGATGGAATTGTGGATAAGGCCATGAAGGAAATAGGTGAATGTCCTGGACATTCAGGAAGAGACAGATAAAAGAGTAATTTGGTCAGAATCAGATGTAATACAGGCACATGCTAGCATTACTTTGATTGATTGATTGATTGATTGATTGATTGATTGATTGTCACATTGCCACAATGCTCAAGTAACCATCAGGGAACAACTGTCTTTTCTCTCTTTCTGGACATTGAACTCAGGTTGTCAGTCTTGGTATAAGTTCCTTGACCTGCTGAGCCATGTCAATGGTCACTATTATGTTTACTGAAAAGAAAGTGGAACTGATTTTGGTTATCTTCGTTAGGATACGAAGGATATCTCCAGTTGTAGTCTCAAACCAGTGATAATTTAATGCTAGGCACTTTACAAAAAGCTAGCGTAACTATAGGAAATGATATTCTTACCTCAAAGGCCTTAGTATATACGACAGGACATAGAGAGACAGAATATTAAGATGAGGGCTGTTAACACAATGTTAACAGATGAGTATATCACTTTGTTATAAACTTTGAGAAATGTATTGAGAAGGATAAGGATTTTGTTCACATAGAAAACATCATGCCCAGGATATGGAAGTTTCACTAAGCTTTGAAACATTTGTTTGAAATCAAATTGATAGTGGTAGAGCCAGAAATGCCACCAGGGTCTTATTAATTTGATACAATTTTTAGTGCATTGACAATACCAATAAGCTGTCTGAGAGAAAAGATATTCAACAAGTAAAACAGGTAAAAGCTGTAATAAGAAGGCACCAATGGTTCTTGCAACTTTGGTAGCAGCTTCTTAGGTATTTAAACTGAAAAACACAGTTGAATATCGTTTAATGCAGAAAGAAAAGTTTTAAGAAGCAGGGACTGAGCCCTGGATAATGTAACCAGTTTAAAATTAGAATAATGGAGATTATTGCAGGCATGTAGGTTAAAAGGATAAGGTAGAAGTGAGAACCGTTGTAGAAGTCAAGAGGAAAAAAAGAAAACAAAGGCAAAAGATGTTAAGAGAAGCTTTTTCTTTGAGAGGAGCCTCCCCCGCCCGCCTGGTTCCAGAGCCGCATCAGTCCCAAATAAACACACTGGAGGCTATATTAATTATGAAGCTGTTGGCCTTGTTTGTCTCTTACTGGCTAGCTCTGCTTTAAGTAATTACCCCATAATTGTTAATCTAAGTATGTTTCTTACCGGAGAATAGTTCCCGGCGTCCTACCCCCATGGCATCACATGTTGACTCTCTTGTCTTTCTCCTTCCCAGAATCCTCCTGGACTCCTAGCCCCACCTATCTAGATTCCTATTGGCCAGCAGTAATTTATTGACATATACACAGGACTTCCCCAACATCTCCTCTTTTCTGTTTAAACAAAAAGAAAGGTCTTAACTTTAATATAGTTAAATTGTATATGTCAATAAAGTACTGTCTGGCCAATAGAAAGCCTAGATAGAAGGGACTAGGAGTCGAAGAGGATTCTGGGAAGGGGAAACACAAGAGAGTCAACATGTGACGCCATGGGGGTATTTCTTTTCTTCTCTAAAGATTTATGGTACCTTCTTCTCTTTTTGTTAAGAGAAGCTTTTTCTTTGCTAGCCGCTTTGGTTTATCCCCCCTCCAGTCGCCTGGGCTCTGCCGCGCCAGCCTGGTTCTAGATCCGCATGAGTCTCAAATAAACACACAGGAGTCTATATTAATTATGAAATACAACAAAATTAAGGAAACAGCTGTTTCAAAGAAACAATATTGAGAAACAGTATTATATTGTTTCAAAGAAACAGCCTTGAGAAACAGTATTATATTGAGAGGGAAGATAGAATGAGAAGCCATTTAGCCTAAAATTAAGAAGAGAAGGTGGCAAAGGAATGGTGAAAGTATGCCTACTCCATTTGGGTGCCAAAGAAAGTGAAAATGCATTCGCTGGAGAGGGCAGCGAGATCAATGGAAGGGCAATCTATGATGTAAAAGAATCGCTTTTGAAACAAGGAATGGAAGCAAAGAGAAGGAAGTCATAGAGATATTAGAGATAGATCAAATAACATGGAGTTAGAGCTTCCAAGGAGTCAAAAACACAATAGGGCCAGACCCGTGATACTAATAAATAAAACCAATGACACGTGGATGGCTGAGCTTACTGTGCCCACGAACCTTGCTTAGCATGGTGACTAAAAAACAAGTGGCCTCCTTTGGAAATCAGTATGAAGATTCCTCAGAAAAATGGGAATAAACCTACCACAAGACCCAGCAACTCCACTCTTAGGCACATATCCAAAAGATGCCCATTCAGACAACAAGGATGTCTGTTCCACTATGTTCATAACAGCATTATTTGTAATAGCCAGAACTTGGAAGCAACCTAGATGCCCTTCAACCAAAGAGTGGATAGAGAAAATGTAGTACATTTACACAATGGAGTACTAATCTGCAGAAAGAAACAATGGAATCCTGCGATTTGCAGGCAAATGGATGACACTAGAAGAAACCATTCTGAGTGAGGTAACGCAGTCACAAAAAGAGAAACATGGCATGTACTCTCTCATATATGGAATTTAGACATAGATCTGGGGAGTGCCAACTTACAATCCCATGGCCAGAGAGTCTGGGAAACAGAACCTTCATTCAGTGGCTGATGGAAGAAGAGGCAGACTCCCATGGCTAAGCAATGAGCTGAACTCAAGAAAGCCAGTAACAGAGAGGGAGGACTGATGACCAAAGGGATTAAGACTGGGCTGGTTTAACCCCCAGAAACAGGTGACCTGACAAGGGTTAACTCTTGAATCCCAGGCATCAGCCTGGGAATCCAGCATGGGACTGATCAAGACCCCCTGAATGTGGGTGTCAGTGAGGAGGACTAGGTAATCTATTGAACCTTGGGCAGTAGATCAGTGTTTATCCTGAGTTTACAAATGGACTTTGGACTCCTATCCAACAATGTGAGATGCACTCTCAACCTGAAATCTTGGGGGAGGGTCTAGGCCCTGCCCTGGATGAAATGACAGACTATGGACAGCCCCATGGAGGGCCTCACCCTCCCTGGGGAAATGAGGAGATATTGGGGGGGCTGGGGAGAGGGCACGGGAGGAGGGGAGGGAAAGGGAGAGGGACCTGGAACTGACTTATGAAGCAACCTTGTTTCTAATTTAAATTTAAATTTAAAAATAAATAAGAAAAAAAAAGTGGCCTCGGTCCTGATTTCCGAACGTTTCCATCTCTACTTTTTTTAAAAAAACAAATCTTTCTTAAAAATCAATTTTTGATTAGTCCAAAGATTGTTAGGTCTCACAATAGAATTTTCAAGCGAAAGCTTTTGTTGATTTTCCTTCCCACTCCTCTCTACCACCCTCCGGTTCCAGTACCTCTCTACTCCCCTTAGCCTCCTTCCTTGCACTTGGTCCCATTGCCCTCCTCTGTTCCTTTAACATCCCATTTCCCCACCTCCAGTGGGGGGAAATATTAAAAGTTAGGATCTCCATAGAGGAGAGAACATATAAAAGGATCTTCGCGATCTCGGTTTTCCTTGGAGAGTGCAGGCCGCTGTAACCTGGCTGTATTCACTAAGCGTGAACAGTGTGCTGCTCTCTGTGCCCATTGCCCGCACATACCTCTTCACCAAAGTTAGGGAGATAGAAAGGCTGATTTGGCATGATGGCCAGTGAATTCGTACTGCCAATGGTATCCTAAATGAGCATTACCGAAACTGAATGACAGTCTCCTTGGGCACAGTACTGGCCATGTGCCGGCACTGCCCTGAATCCTTAGTTTACATGGTGGTTGCTGGCCAAATGTCCTCCAGTTTGAATTTACACAGCCTCTGATCAGCTCTAAACTCTATTGTCTTAATCAGTTCTATGAATTGAACAGTTTTTTCTACAAACATGTGGATTTTATCAGGTACTGTCATGGCTTGATTTCTGTAGAAGCAGAATCAACCTTTTGTTTTACATCATATGCTTTTAGTTATCTGTACAAATTTTAAAAGTGGCTGTGAAAAACAGCCTTTTTGTTACAGTAATGTTTT